ACCACCTCCGGATGCTCTGTAACTGATTTCAAGTTGTCACACAATCGACCCAAAACCCGTTCCTTGAAAGGCATACAAAACCCCTTTGAAAACCCGTCTAACAATAACTGTGCATCACCCTGGTTACCGTAACGGCTTAGCCAAGGCCTGGCTCCGCTGGTAAATGCAGACTTTCCCTGTTTGAAGCACCTGTTGAGGCACCCCCGCAGTCCGAACATTAGTGCTTAAACTTACACGAGGCCCCCCTTGCATTGACCTTCATTAAACGTCCAACAGAACCCTTTCTTTTGACTGGCTGACGAAGAGGAGGTGTGCCGGCCCCACCCTGAAAGGGCGCAGCTTTCTGAGCCATCATCAGTTTCATCCATAGAGGTAGCTCCATCTGGTCCCACCGCATCCCGACAACCTTTGACGGAACTGCTCATCGTACTTCCACCAAGCCAAGCCCCCATAAGTGCAATAAGCTTCCCAGATCCCGTCCAAATAGCAGAAAAACTGAGAACACCGCTTGGGAAACTTCTCGCCCAAGACACTAGCCAAAATGCAGAATGCCCGTAGCCAATTCCCAAAAGGCATAGTTATCTTCCAGTACCTTTGTCTCTTTTTTCCTCCTCTTCTTTCTTGGAATCCATCTTATCTTCCTCCTTCAGATCAATATATTCATCCAAAGGAAGAAGCGAGAAGATCTCGAGGAATTTGCCCCGCCAAATCTTCTTCTTCATGTCCGATTTTAGATGACAACCCAAATGCCCAGCGAATGACACATTCTGCCTGGCTACCTCTGGGATCTCACCTAACAACTCTGCACGCTCGCTGACCACCGCCGATGTCCCCGACCCGAGTGAAGTCACCATAGTCCCGCCCTGAACACTGCCTGCCGCAGCCACCGGAACCATCGATGCCACCACACATCGGCCTGTCAGCAGACCCACACCCGACTAAAATGCGCCTCCTGTGTATCCACAACAGCCCAAAAGTTAAGAAAGGACCTCAAGCTATCCAAGAGATTCCTGGAGTGTAATGCAGAAGAAGACTCACCGCCAGAACCCACTGCCATAGAAGCCCGCAGTCCTTCTATCCACCTCGAGCGGTCCAGGAGTAGCATCATAACTTCTGCACCAGCCGCCAGGTCCTGCCTCAGTACCGTAGGAGAAGGAGTTGCTGACCTGCGGGAAGAATACAACCTGGGTAGTCTGCTTATAGGAGCCCCAACCCGTCCATCCTCCCCACGTTGCCGACCACATTCCTTGTCCTCAAACCGCCTTACCCGATTGGCGTATGGGGTAAGACAAACCTTCCGATAACTCCTGTTATGCGACCCGTAAGCCCTTCTCCGGCTCCTTGCCATATCCTCGGAAGAAGTTGAACGCCCCCTGCTGTAATGCAGTGGACCGTCTATCCTCGCTGCGCCTGGTCCTTGCAACACTCCTGAAAAGTAGCCTGGCCTGTAATACTTGGTGACCCGCTATCCCTCGTCCTAGAGCGGTGCTCCCTGCGCTCCCGGACAGCATGACTCCTCCAATCCGGCCTATCCACCTGCCTGGCTTCATGTAGCCGTACGCATTCTCTCCCACCTGACCCCGCGCAGGCCATGCTGCACCCCCCAGGTCCCGTTTGGGCTCCTCTCAAGCCTGTTAGGCCTGCCTGGCACCTCCCTGGCCGCAGAAACGCTATGTCCTTGGCTGCCTGAACCAGCCGTTGCCCGTGCCCCATTTGTGACAGTGTCCTCTACCGCAGCTGACCAGGACCCAGCTGGGGCCGTACCAGACTCCTTCCTGACGCTTGGACCCCCGTGGCCCATACCCCTCTGTGCTCCTGGGCACCCACGTCTTGCACTTCCCACCGATACAGGGCCCGACTGCCGAGTGCAGCAGGGGCGTCTCCAGCGTTGGTAGCAGATCTGGCGGCACTCGCAGCATCGGCGGAGCCCGCCGTCCTCCGCATCTGACCTTTCCTGCTAGCTGCCATCTGACGGGACGCAGCCTGACCTGAGAGACGCAGATGTGCTGCCTCCCGTCCCTGACCTGCTCCAGCAACACCGTCTGACATGGACCGCCTGCCTAGAGCCTCCGCGACCGACACCTCAGGTTCAGCTCCAGAACCGTCTGCCATGGGATCAGCTCCTGGTGTTGGGTTCCTCCTCCGTGCCGTCATCTTGTTTGAAATTCTTGTTTGTTTGGTTATAACACTGTAACATGTAATAACAGCAATAACACCGTGTCATGTAATAACAGCAATAACACTGTAACATGTAATAACAGCAATAACACTGTAACATGTAATAACAAAGCAATAACATTGTAACATAATAACAGCAATAACACTGTAACATGTAATAACAGCAATAACACTGTAACATAATAACAGCAATAACACTGTAACATGTAATAACAAAGCAATAACACCGTAACATGTAATAAGACTGTAACATGTAATAACAAAGCAATAACATTGTAACATAATAACAGCAATAACACCGTAACATGTAATAACAGCAATAACACCGTAACATGTAATAACACTGTAACATGTAATAACAAAGCAATAACATTGTAACATAATAACAGCAATAACACCGTAACATGTAATAACAAAGCAATAACATTGTAACATGTACAGTTGCAAGAAAAAGTATGTGAACCCTTTGGAATGATATGGATTCCTGCACAAATTGGTCATAAAATGTGATCTGATCATCATCTAAGTAACAACAATAGACAATCACAGTCTGCTTAAACTAATAACACACAAAGAATGAAATGTTGCCATGTTTTTATTGAACACACCATGTAAACATTCACAGTGCAGGTGGAAAAAGTATGTGAACCCTTGGATTTAATAACTGGTTGAACCTCCTTTGGCAGCAATAACTTCAACCAAACGTTTCCTGTAATTGCAGATCAGACGTGCACAACGGTCAGGAGTAATTCTTGACCATTCCTCTTTACAGAACTGTTTCAGTTCAGCAATATTCTTGGGATGTCTGGTGTGAATCGCTTTCTTGCGGTCATGCCACAGCATCTCAATTGGGTTGAGGTCAGGACTCTGACTAGGCCACTTCAGAAGGCGTATTTTCTTCTGTTTAAGCCATTCTGTTGTTGATTGACTTCTATGCTTTGGTCATTGTCCTGTTGCAATAACCATCTTCTGTTGAGCTTCAGCTGGTAGACAGATGGCCTTAAGTTCTCCTGCAAAATGTCTTGATAAACTTGGGAATTAATTTTTCCTTCGATGATAGCAGTCCGTCCAGGCCCTGACGCAGCAAAGCAGCCCCAAACCATGATGCCCCCACCACCATACTTCACAGTTGGGATGAGGTTTTGATGTTGGTGTGCTGTGCCTTTTTTTCGCCACACATAGTGTTGTGTGTTTCTTCCAAACAACTCAACTTTGGTTTCATCTGTCCACAGAATATTTTGCCAGTACTGCTGTGGAACATGCAGGTGCTCTTGTGCAAAGTGTAAACGTGCAGCAATGTTTTGTTTGGACAGCAGTGGCTTCCTCTGTGGTATCCTCCCATGAAATCCATTCTTGTTTAGTGTTTTACGTATTGTAGATTCGCTAACAGGGATGTTAGCATTTGCCAGTGACTTTTGTAAGTCTTTAGCTGACACTCTAGGATTCTTCTTCACCCCATTGAGCAGTCTGCACTGTGCTCTTGCAGTCATCTTTACAGGACGGCCACTCCTAGGGAGAGTAGCAGCAGTGCTGAACTTTCTCCATTTATAGACAATTTGTCTTACCGTGGACTGATGAACAGCAAGGCTTTTGGAGATACTTTTATAACCCTTTCCAGCTTTATGCAAGTCAACAATTCTTAATCGTAGGTCTTCTGAGAGCTCTTTTGTGCGAGGCATCATTCACATCAGGCAATGCTTCTTGTGAAAAGCAAACCCAGAACTGGTGTGTGTTTTTTATAGGGCAGGGCAGCTGTAACCAACACCTCCAATCTCATCTCATTGATTGGACTCCAGTTGGCTGACATCTCACTCCAATTAGTTCTTGGAGATGTCATTAGTCTAGGGGTTCACATACTTTTTCCACCTGCACTGTGAATGTTTACATGGTGTGTTCAATAAAAACATGGCAACATTTCATTCTTTGTGTGTTATTAGTTTAAGCAGACTGTGATTGTCTATTGTTGTGACTTAGATGATGATCAGATCACATTTTATGACCAATTTGTGCAGAAATCCATATCATTCCAAAGGGTTCACATACTTTTTCTTGCAACTGTAATAACATCAATAACATTGTAACATGTAATAACAAATCAGTAACACGATAACATGTAATAACAGCAATAACACGGTAACATGTAATAACCGCAATAACACCGTAACATGTATTAACAGCAATAACACCGTAACATGTAATAACCGCAATAACAACATAACATGTCATAACAGCAATAACATGTAATAACACAGCAATAACATTGTAACATGTAATAACAGCAATAACACTGTAACATGTAATAACAGCAATAACACTGTAACATGTAATAACAGCAATAACACTGTAACATGTAATAACAAAGCAATAACACAGTAACATGTAATAACAGCAATAACATGGTAACATGTAATAACCACAATAACACCGTAACATGTAATAACAAAGCAGTAACACCGTAACATGTAATAACAGCAATAACACGGTAACATGTAATAACAGCAATAACACTGTAACATGTAATAACAGCAATAACACTGTAACATGTAATAACAAAGCAGTAACACCGTAACATGTAATAACAGCAATAACACTGTAACATGTAATAACAGCAATACATTAACATGTAATAACACTGTAATACACAATTACCATCTCTACACGGTAACATGCTGCAGCACTCTGTCAAACAGTGAGACATTAAGTTATTCCTGGGTCTCCATGTGACAAGACGGATGTCTCAAGTGACAGGTGATGTCTCAGTGAGCTCTCGAGTGACAACCGGATGTTTCTTTACTCTCACAGTGTTAGCCCCCCAGTGTGAGGCTCTCATTGAGAGCCCTGTATGGGGGGATCTAAGCCTTGCTACAGCCATGCAGGGCTTGGAACTGCACCGTCCCAACATTAACTGAGCTTCCCTGTCTGTTTCTTCGTTTGGCTGTCTCTGGTTATGGGTGATACACCCAGGAAAACGCTTACTTACCATCATACCCTGGTGAGTCCCATCATATCCCATAATTTTGCTGAGTACCCCATGCTGACAAACACCTACCCACTGCCGAGTACCCCATTCTGACTAACACCCACTGCCGAGTACCCCATGCTAACACCTACCGACTGCCGAGTACCCCATGCTAACAGCTACCCACTGCCAAGTAGCCCATGCTGACTAGCACCTACACACTGTGTATTACCCCATGCTAACACCTACCCACTGCCGAGTACCCCATGCTAACAGCTACCCACTGCCGAGTACCCCATGCTGACTAGCACCTACACACTGCGTAGTACCCCATGCTAACACCTACCCACTGCCGAGTACCCCATGCTGACTAGCACCTACACACTGCGTAGTACCCCATGAGAACACCTACCCACTGCCAAGTACCCCATGCTGACTAGCACCTACACACTGGGTAGTACCCTTTGCTGATTCCCACCTACCCACTGCCGAGTACCCCATGCTGACTAGCACCTACACACTGCGGAGTACCTCTTTCTGATTCTCACCTTCCCACTGTCGAGTTACCCGTGCTGATTACCACCTACCCACTACTGTGTACAGCATGCTGTGTCCCAACTACCTACTGCAAAATAACCCATGCTGATTTCCCCCTACCCAGTGCAGAGTAACCCATGCTGACTAACACCTTCTCACTGAGGAGTAACCCTTGCTGATTCCCACCTACCCACTGCCGAGTTCCCCATGCTGATTACTACCTACCCACTACTGTGTACAGCATGCTGTGTCCCAACTACCTACTGCAAAATAACCCATGCTGATTTCCACCTACCTACTGCAAAGTAACCCATGCTGATTCCCACCTACCCACTGCCAAGTACCCAAAGCTGACTAACACCTATCTTCTGACCAGCACCTACCCTCTAGTACCCAATGCCATAGGTCTACTGCCAGTATCCCATGCTGACTAACATCTACCCGCTGTCAAGTACACCATGCTGATTGACTTTTGCCACTTCTGAGTACCTCATGCTGATTCCCTTGCAACTATGTTGAATATCTCATTATGATTCTCATGTAATAGCCTTGCTGATTTCTTCCTACCCCTGCTGAGTAGACGTTGCTGATTTCTTCCTACCCCTGCTGAGTATCCCTTGCTGATTTCTTCCTACCCCTGCTTAGTATCCCATGTTGATTTCTGTTCTACCCCTGCTTAGTATCCCATGTTGATTTCTGTTCTACCCCGGCTGAGTATCCCTTGCTGAGTCCTCTAAACCAGTGGTTCCCAACCCAGTCCTCAAGTACCCCCTTACATTCCAGGATTTAGGGATTACCCTGTGGTGTCTAAGGTGTTTTTAGAAAACCAAAACCAAAAAACACTTTAGACACAACAAGGTGTCTAAATCCTGGACCGGTGGGTGGTACTTGAGGACTGGGTTGGGAACCCCTGCTCTAAACCCCTACTGAGTATCCTATGCTGATTTCTTCCTACCCCTGCTGAGTATCCCTTGCTATTTTCTTTCTACCCCATGGTGAGTATCCCTTGCTGATTTGTACCTACCCCTGCTGAGTATCCCTTGCTGATTGGTACCTACCCCTGCTGAGTATCCCTTGCTGTTTTCTTTCTACCCCTGCTGAGTATACCTTGCTGATTTGTACCTACCCCTGCTGAGTATCCCTTGCTGATTTGTACCTACCCCTGCTGAGTATCCCTTGCTGATTTGTACCTACCCCTACTGAGTATCCCTTGCTGACTCCTCTAAACCACTGATGAGTATCCCTTTCTGATTTCTTTCTACCCCTGCTAAGTATCCCATGCTGATTTCCTCCTACTCCTGCTAAGTATCCTTTGCTGGTTGTCATAATCCTGCTAACTCTCATCTATTCCAACTCAATATGTTCCTATCCTTACTATTCTGGGTTTCACCTTTCACCAAATGGTGATGAATACTGGTGGCCCTCCCATTGCTTTTCTTATTTTAACTAGTTTTGCTGAGTCCCCCCACCAAACCCTGCTGATTCACACATAATGGTTCTGAGTCACACCTAATGCTACCTAATTACATTTAAAAAATCCATAATGTTAATTAGCATTATGGGGTCTGATCGAACAACCCCAGTCCATCCTAATTTCAAGTCCACCCTAACCCTGCCGAGTCCCTTTAAACCTACTGTGTCCATTCTAACTCTGCTGAGTCCGTCCTAACTCTGTGCCTATCCTAACTCTGAGCCCACCCTAACCTTGCTGAGCCCCTTTAAACCTGCTGTGTCCATCCTAAATCTATGTCAATCCTAACTCTGAGCCCACCCTAACCTTGCTGAGTCCCTTTAAACCTGCTGTGTCCATCCTAGCTCTGCTGAGTCCCTTTAACACTGCTGACTTGCTTGAAAATACAGCAGAATGCTGGGGGAGGTTGAAAACTATGAAATTACATCTTCAGCTATAAAGAGAGTTTCAATAGGGATGCATTTTTGAGTTATTGCAGTATTATCTGATATCTGATGGCACTAAGAGTTTTCAGTCTGTGATATCTGCATGCGATGTGATCAGTGCTAATTGGTAGTTATCAATTCAGTGAATGCTAAACCTGTTAAAAATCTATTTTCAAGCCCTTGCCTTCAATAAACCCATATTTTATTCAGGATATTCCCCCTGTCCCTCGAATGTAACCAACGTGCCGGAATGTAAGCTACCTGCCCATGTTCCTGTTAATGTAACTTGCCTGCTCTTTCACCTTAAATGTAACCTGTTTACCCCTGCATCTGTGAATATAACCTAGCTTCCCCTACACCTATTAATGTAACCTACCGCTGCATCTGTGAATGCAACCTAGCTTCCCCTACACGTATTAATGTAACCTACCTACCCCTGCATCTGTGAATGTAACCTACCTACCCCTACACCTATTAATGTAACCTACCTGTAACGGACCGTTTCAGCACACAAGGGGTTAAAACCGTTTAGGCGATATTCCCCTTTTCAGATACACTGGCACAGCTACTGCAGAACACCAAACTCCCGAACTGCATACAAGGGAATGCTCCAAACACCCGAACTGCATACAAGGGAATGCTCCAAACACCCGAACTGGAACCTCACGAATAGCTGCTAGCAGACGAACAGGAAAAGCACCCAAGCGGCTTACACTCCTGGCAATCAGTCTCTAACAGCATACAGTAAATCCCCCCAAAGACGAGACAAGGCTCCATGTTGAGGGTCAAGCAGTGGACAGTTTAATGAGGGCTACCTGCCCAGTATTTATGCAGGTCTCCCACCTGGTGGACACTCCCCTAGGGGACCAAATGGGAGACTGTGACAAAGGACAGACATGAACCAATGACAGACACACACAGGTAAAACCTCCCCACAATGCATCCTAACTTCCCTCCCTCTGTCCTGGAGATAATTGGGAAGTAATCCAATTATCTCCCAGCACAGAGGCAAAACTCCATTAACCACATGGCAGTAAAAGACATAAAAATGTATAAAGTTACAAGTGTTGCACAAAACATATACATTCTACCTATCCCCAGATAGCTTAGATCTGAGTGCACAAAAGTACCGAATAGCGCTCAGATCCTATGCACACAGTCCAATCGCCGTGGAGTTAAGGTGTTCACAAAGTCTGTTCTCCATCCGAATAGACTCCACGGGATGGCTATCTTGGGTAATGCAGTTCATACAGTTTAAACTACCGAATGAAGAGGCATCCGGTTAAATAAATCTTTTCTGCAGGGAAAAAAAGATGTCTTTTAACATGGGGCCATAGTCTAAAGGCAACAGTCGAGCAGCAGGCTTCTCCAATGCAATGTGGCGAGATTCCTCTCGTCACGCTACCTACCCCTGCATCTGTGAATGCAACCAAGCTTCCCCTACTCCTATTAATGTAACCTATCTACCCCTACATCTGTGAATGTAACCTAGCTTCCCCTACACCTATTAATGTAACCTACCTACCCCTGCATCTGTGAATGTAACCTACCTGTTCCTACATCTTAAATGTAACCTACCTGCCACTGGCCTGCACCTCTTAATATAACCTACCTGCCCCGGTATCTTGTATGTAACTTACCTGCCCCTACACCTATGAATGTAACCTACCTGCCCCTGTAACTTGAATGTAACCTACCTGCCCTTGTACCTGTGAATATTGCCTACCTACCCCTGTGCCTGTAAATATTACCTGCCTGCCCCTGCGAATGTAACCTACCTGCCCCTGTAACTGTAAATGTAACATACCTTCCCCTGTACCTTGAATGCAACCTACCTGCCCCTGTACCTTGCACCTCAAATGTTACGTACCTGCCACTGGCCTGCACCTCTGAATTTTACCTACCTAACCTTGTACCTTTAATGCAACCTACTTGCCCTTGCACCTGTAAATGTAATCAGAACACAAAACATGTCTCTCACTACACATGTCTCTCTGCCAGTTATCTATCTGGCAATCATTTCACTTTCAGTTGTCTCTCTGCCAGTCATCTCTCCACTAGTTATCTCACTGCCAATCATATCTCAGCCAGCTATCTCTCTGCCAATCATTTCTCTGCTTATCATCTCTCCACTAGTTATCTCTCCACCAATCATCTCTTAGCCAATCATCTATCTGCCAATCATCTCTCCTGCAGTTATCTCACTGTCAGTCATCTGTCCACCAATCATCTCTCCACTAGTAATCTCACTGCAAATCATCTCTCCACCAATCATCTCTCAGCCAGTTATCGCTCTGCCAATCATCTCTCTGCCAGTTATCTATTTGCCAATCATCTCACTTTCAGTTATCTTACTACCAATCAACTCTCCACCAATCATCTCTCGCCAGTTATCTCTCTGCCTATCAGCTCTCCACTAGTTATCTCTCCACCAATCATCTCTCTGCCAATCGTCTCTCCTGCAGTTATCTCACTCTCAGTTATCTCTTCACTAGTTATCTCTCTGCCAATCATCTCTCCTGCAGTTATCTCACTGTCAGTTATCTCTCCACCAATCATCTCTCTGCCAATCGTCTCTCCTGCAGTTATCTCTCAGCCAGTTATCTCTCCACTAGTTATCTCTCAGCCAGTTATCTCTCCACCTATCATCTCTCCACTAGTTATATCACTGACAGTCATCATTCCACCAGTCATATCATCTATCTTAGCCAATCATCTATCTGCCAATCATCTCCTCTGCAGTTATCTTTCTGCCAATCATCTCTCCACTAGTTATCTCACTGCCAGTTATCTCTCTGCCAATCATTTCTCTGCCAATTTACCCTTAGCCAGTTATCTCTCTGCCAATCGTCTTTCCTGCAGTTATCTCTCTGCCAATCATCTCACTGCCAGGCATCTCACTGCCAGGTATCTTTTTGTATTTGAATATATTTTATTTTTTTATTTTATTACTACTGATTTGCTTATTATGAATAAAGAGTTTGCAACTAGCTGCCTACTTCTTGTGTCTGGTGGCTGTATCTGCAGTTCCCAGTGGCTGTGTCTGGTTGCTCTAGCCATTGGTTATGTTTGGCTGGTGTGCCCAATGGCTGTGTCTGCTCACTGTGCTATGTGGCGTTGTTCAGTGATTGTGTACAGTGGCTGCGTCTGCTCACTGTGTCTGCTTTCTGTTTCCAGTGGCTGTGTATGCCTGCTGTGTCAGTGGCTGTGTCTGCTCGCTGTGCCCAGTAAATGTGACTGCTCGCTGTGACCAGTGGCTGTGTGTGCACGCTGTACCCACTGGTGGTGTCTTCCCTCTGTGCCCAGTGGCTGTGTCTTTGCCCAGTTGCTGTGTCTGCTCGCTGTTCCAGTGACTTTGGCTGCTTTCTGTTTCCAGTGGCTCTGTCTGCTCTCTGTGCCCAATGACTGAGTCTGGTTGCTCTACCCATTGATTATGTTTGGTTGGTGTGCCCAGTGGCGGTGTCTGCTCGCTGTGCCCAGTGGTGGTGTCTGCTCTCTGTGCCCAGTGGTGGTGTCTGCTCGCTGTGCCCAATGGCGGTGTCTGCTTGCTGTGCCCAATGGCGGTGTCTGCTCCCTGTACACAGTGGCTCTGTCTGTTCACTGTTCCAGTGGCTTTGTCTGCTTTCTGTGCCCAGTGGCTGTGTCTGCTCTCTTTGCCCAGTGGCTGTGGCTGCCCGCTGTGCCTAGTGGCGGTGTCTGCTCGCTGTTTCCAGTGGCTGTGTCTGCTTGCTATGCCAGTGGCATTGTCTGCTCGCTGTGCCCAGTGGCTGTGTCTGCTCGCTGTTTCCAGTGGCTTTGTCTGCTTTCTGTTTCCAGTGGCTGTGTCTGCTCGCTGTTTCCAGTGGCTTTGTCTGCTTTCTGTTTCCAGTGGCTGTGTCTGCTCGCTGTGCCCAGTGGCTGTGGCTACTTGCTGTTTCCAGTGGCTGTGTCTGCTCTCTGTGCCCAGTGGCTGTGGCTACTTGCTGTTTCCAGTGGCTGTGTCTGCTCTCTGTGCCCAGTGGCTGTGGCTACTTGCTGTTTCCAGTGGCTGTGTCTGCTCTCTGTGCCCAGTGGCTGTGGCTACTTGATGTTTCCAGTGGCTGTGTCTGCTCGCTGTGCCCAGTGGCTGTGGCTACTTGCTGTTTCCAGTGGCTGTGTTTGCTAGTTGTGCCCAGTGGCTGTGGCTGCTTGCTGTGCCCAGTGGCTGTCCCTGTTTGCTGTTTCCAGTGGTTGTGTCTGCTTGCTGTTTAACCCCTTAAGGGCACATGACATGTGTGACAAGTCATGATTCCCTTTTATTCCAGAAGTTTGGTCCTTAAGGGGTTAAAGTGGCTGTCCCTGTTTGCTGTGCCCAGTGGCTATCCCTGTTTGCTGTGCCCAGTGGCTATCCCTATTTGCTGTGCCCAGTGGCTATCCCTGTTTGCTGTGTCCAGTGGCTATCCCTGTTTGCTGTTTAAAGTGGTTGTGTCTGCTTGCTGTTTAAAATGGCTGTCCCTGGTTGCTGTGCCCAGTGGTTGCCCCTGTTTGCTGTTCCTAGTGGCTATCCCTGTTTGCTGTGTCCAGTGGCTATCCCTGTTTGCTGTGCCCAGTGGTTGCCCCTGTTTGCTGTGCCCAGTGGTTATCCCTGCTTGCTGTGCCCAGTGGTTGCCCCCTGCTTGCTGTGCCCTGTGGTTGTCCCTGCTTGCTGTGCCCAGTGGCTATTCCTGTTTGCTGTACCCAGTGGTTGTCCCTGCTTGCTGTGCCCAGTGGTTGTCCCTGCTTGCTGTGCCTAGTAGCTGTCGTATCTTGCTGTGTCCAGTGGCTTTGCCCTGTTGTGGGATTAGAGGAATAGGCAGAACATGTTATGGGGTTAATCTGTGCGATGAACAAGTGATGACAGACATTTCAGATTTTCTCTCTTTATTTCTCTCTGTAATGTGTAAGCTCCCTCCATACTGTGTCTGTCCCATTATTCTCACATTTCTCTATTTTTTATCTGAAACGACCAGAATGGATGGAGACAACAATTCTCTTCCATCACATTCTTTTAACCTGGTAAGACTGCCACCCATAATTGTTTCACATTGAGTGAAAGTGTACAGACCAGCAGAGCACATTGTGTGACAGTATACAGACCAGCAGAGCATGTTGTATGACAGTTTGCAGACCAGCAGAGCACATTGTGTGACAGTATAGAGACCAGCAGAGCACATTGTGTGACAGTATACAGACCGGCAGAGCACATTGTGTGACAGTATACAGACCGGCAGAGCACATTGTGTGACAGTATGCAGACCAGCAGAGCACATTGTGTGACAGTATACAGACAAGCAGAGCACATTGTATGACAGTATACAGACCAGCAGAGCACATTGTGTGACAGTATACAGACCAGCAGAGCACATTGTGTGACAGAATACAGACCAGCAGAGCACATTGTGTGACAGTATACAGACCGGCAGAGCACATTGTGTGACAGTATGCAGACCGGCAGAGCACATTGTGTCACAGTATACAGACCAGCAGAGCACATTGTGTGACAGTATGCAGACCAGCAGAGCACATTGTGTGACAGTATACAGACCAGCAGAGCACATTGTGTGACAGTATACAGACCGGCAGAGCACATTGTGTGACAGTATGCAGACCAGCAGAGCACATTGTGTGACAGTATACAGACCAGCAGAGCACATTGTGTGACAGTATACAGACCAGCAGAGCACATTGTGTGACAGTATACAGACCAGCAGAGCACATTGTATGACAGTATACAGACCGGCAGAGCACATTGTGTGACAGTATACAGACCAGCAGAGCACGTTGTGTGACAGTATACAGACCAGCAGAGCACGTTGTATGACAGTATGCAGACTAGCAGAGCACATTGTGTGACAGTATGCAGACCAACAGAGCACGTTGTATGACAGTATGCAGGCTAGCAGAGCACATTGTGTGACAGTATACAGACCGGCAGAGCATGCTGTATGACAGTATACAGACTAGCAGAACACATTGTGTGACAGTATATGGATCAAAGTATGTGACACACACTGAGTATGGATAAATGGGGGAGAGATGGTGGGGGTACAGTAACAAAGTATGTGACACACACTGAGTATGGATAAATGGGGGAGAGATGGTGGGGGTACAGTAACAAAGTATGTGACACACACTGAGTATCCCCATCATCTCTCCCCCATTTACCTATACTCATTGTGCGCCACATACTTTGTTACTGTACCCCCACCATCTCTCCCATTTTCCCCACACTCGGTGTGAGTCCTTTACTTTGTTACTGTATCCCCCACCATCTCTCCCCATTTACCCATACTCAGTGTGCGTCACATATTTGTTACTGTACCCCCACCATCTCTCTCCCATTTACCCATACTCAGTTTGCATCACATACTTTGTTACTGTATCCCCATAATCTCTCTCCCATTTACCCTATACTCAGTGTGTGTTACATACTTTGTTCCTGTATCCCTCACTATCTCTCCCCCATTTTCCCATATTCAGTGTACGTCACATACTTTGTTACTGTATCCCACCATCTCTCCCCCATTTACCCATACTCAGTGTGCGTCACATACCTTGTTTACGTATCCCCATAATCTCTCTCCCATTTACCCTATACTCAGTGTGTGTTACATACTTTGTTCCTGTATCCCTCACTATCTCTCCCCCATTTTCCCATATTCAGTGTACGTCACATACTTTGTTACTGTATCCCCACCATCTCTCCCCCATTTACCCATGTGGTGGAACCAGCCTCGCCACTGAGCCTCCTGCCATGTGACTGTGGCCCCTGAGATGTATTGCCTGCTCTCCTGTACTACTGAGGATTGCTACCAACTAGGTGGATTTGGCAATGGTAGCAACAGTAATATGCACTACCTGAATAGCAAGACTGGTAATTTGCATATTTGGGTAGATTTGCATATCGCTAATTCTGCATGCAGGAGAGACATTTTGTGTTAATTATGGTCTTCCCCACCCATTTATAAATATGTAATTATGTTATAATAAGTCACTGTATGTTGCCTGCTATGATTTGACTGTTTGTAATTTTATTGAGTTTTCACAGCAATGTTAATGTGAAGACCATATGGGCAAGTTTTAGACAGTTCTACTTCACCCTCAATTTGGAGTGCCGTCTCTTATTGGGGGAATCTGCTACAAGGCATTGCTATGCTATTCATACTCCCTTGCTAAATCACTACTAAGCTCTTGTAAGAGCTTGTTCCTGACTTGCTCTATGGAGGAGTCTACAGAGGTTATGGTGTCTGCTGCAGTGCTTGGAGTCCTCAGGAAGTGCTAGGAGCATCCATCAACAGAGGTACCCAGTCGGAGTGCCAGGTGATTCGTTACAACCCATACATAGTGTACATCTTATACTTTGTTCCTGTATCCCCCACTATCTATCCCCCATTTACCCCATACTCAGAGTGTGTCAAATACCTTGTTCCTGTATCCCCACCATCTTTCCCCCTTACTACAGAACGGCCGTGTTTAGGCTACTTCACAACCCACATCCCAGCCCTCATCTCTGACTCCTTTAGCGAATACTTAGTCATTGCTGACTCACCAGCATTGAACTTGTTTATCTTATCTCAATGAGAAATTATATTTCTATTATATTTCTCATATTTTCTAAGCAATTCATTAGCTGCTCTTATTCTGCAGAAGCACGGCTTTTGGGAAATAGTTTCAGCCTCTGCGTGCTTGAAGGTGAGGTGAACTAGCCTAAAGTATTTCCAGACCTCACTGAGTGAATACAGGTAACTGCAAGCATTGAATGAGGTGGGATTACTCGTAGGTAATGGCAAACTGGGTATTTGACAGGTTCTGTCTATAATTACATTTAAACACAGGTGATAACGTGAGATTGGGTAATTGGACTGGGATTCAATGGCACAAAGTGATCCAAACTAAATGCATGGATTAAACAGACAAAAACAGCTGTGTCAGGGCAAGCAGGAGGCACGGAGGTGTAAAGGGACAGCCGTCAAAGCGAGGACACAGGTAGAATAAAGTTATAAATCAAATAAAGGTCACACAACACAACTCCTGGGAGAAAAGGGAACGGACTCGCTGGAGAGGGAGCGGTCTCATATCTATGGAGGGTGGGGGAATGGTGCATTAAAAGCACAGGTGAGACAGACCTTTAACAGATATAAGGAGCTGTCCTGCCAGTGAGGGGGTCCTGGGTTTACCCAAAAATTGCATGTTTTCACAGTGATGCAAAGTAAAGGTCTAGACAGAACTGAGATGTCAAAACGACCAGCACTTGTACCACTGAGGGTAAGTCTCTATACAAAACCTTGAGTAGCATTCAGTGTTCAGGTAGCATATTGTGCATTTTTTAATACTTACTCAGCACCTTGAGTATCCTCGAGTGCTCAGGGAGCTTATTGAGTATATTTTAATGTGTACAGAGCCTCGAGTGTTCAGGCAGCATATTGAGCATCTTTTAATATTAAAAACAGCACCTTGAGTAGCATTCAGTGTTCAGTTAATATTTGCATAGCACCTTGGGTAGCCTCGAGTGTTCAGGAAGCATATTGAGCATCTTTTAATATTTGCATAGTACCTTGAGTAGCCTCGAGTGTTCAGGAAGCATATTGAGCATCTTTTAATATTTGCATAGCACCTTGAGTAGCCTCAAGTGTTCAGGAAGCATATTGAGTATCTTTTAATACTTACAGAACACCTTGAGTAGCCTCGAGTGTTCAGGCAGCATATTGAGCATCTTTTAATACTTACAGAACACCTTGAGTAGCCTCGAGTGTTCAGGCAGCATATTGAGCATCTTTTAATATTAAAAACAGCACCTTGAGTAGCATTCAGTGTTCAGTTAATATGTACAGAGCACTTTGAGTAGCCTCGAGTGTTCAGGAAGCATATTGAGCATCTTTTAATATTTGCATAGTACCTTGAGTAGCCTCGAGTGTTCAGGAAGCATATTGAGCATCTTTTAATACTTACAGAGCACCTTGAGTAGCCTCGAGTGTTCAGGCAGCACATTGAGCATCTTTTAATATTTACATAGTACCTTGAGTAGCCTCGAGTGTTCAGGAAGCATATTGAGCATCTTTTAATATTTACAGAGCACCTTGAGTAGCCTCGAGTGTTCAGGAAGCATATTGAGCATCTTTTAATATTTGCATAGTACCTTGAGTAGCCTCAAGTGTTCAGGAAGCATATTGAGCATCTTTTAATATTTGCATAGCTCCTTGAGTAGCCTCAAGTGTTCAGGAAGCATATTGAGTATCTTTTAATACTTACAGAACACCTTGAGTAGCCTCGAGTGTTCAGGCAGCATATTGAGCATCTTTTAATACTTACAGAACACCTTGAGTAGCCTCGAGTGTTCAGGCAGCATATTGAGCATCTTTTAATATTAAAAACAGCACCTTGAGCATTCTTTTAATATGTAAGAGCACCTTGAGTAGCCTCGAGTGTTCAGGAAGCATATTGAGCATCTTTTAATATTTGCATAGTACCTTGAGTAGCCTCGAGTGTTCAGGAAGCATATTGAGCATCTTTTAATACTTACAGAGCACCTTGAGTAGCCTCGAGTGTTCAGGCAGCACATTGAGCATCTTTTAATATTTACATAGTACCTTGAGTAGCCTCGAGTGTTCAGGAAGCATATTGAGCATCTTTTAATATTTACAGAGCACCTTGAGTAGCCTCGAGTGTTCAGGAAGCATATTGAGCATCTTTTAATATTTGCATAGTACCTTGAGTAGCCTCGAGTGTTCAGGAAGCATATTGAGCATCTTTTAATATTTGCATAGCACCTTGAGTAGCCTCAAGTGTTCAGGAAGCATATTGAGTATCTTTTAATACTTACAGAACACCTTGAGTAGCCTCGAGTGTTCAGGCAGCATATTGAGCATCTTTTAATACTTACAGAACACCTTGAGTAGCCTCGAGTGTTCAGGCAGCATATTGAGCATCTTTTAATATTAAAAACAGCACCTTGAGTAGCATTCAGTGTTCAGTTAATATGTACAGAGCACTTTGAGTAGCCTCGAGTGTTCAGGAAGCATATTGAGCATCTTTTAATATTTGCATAGTACCTTGAGTAGCCTCGAGTGTTCAGGAAGCATATTGAGCATCTTTTAATACTTACAGAGCACCTTGAGTAGCCTCGAGTGTTCAGGCAGCACATTGAGCATCTTTTAATATTTACATAGTACCTTGAGTAGCCTCGAGTGTTCAGGAAGCATATTGAGCATCTTTTAATATTTACAGAGCACCTTGAGTAGCCTCGAGTGTTCAGGAAGCATATTGAGCATCTTTTAATATTTGCATAGTACCTTGAGTAGCCTCGAGTGTTCAGGAAGCATATTGAGCATCTTTTAATATTTGCATAGTACCTTGAGTAGCCTCGAGTGTTCAGGAAGCATATTGAGCATCTTTTAATACTTACAGAGCACCTTGAGTAGCCTCGAGTGTTCAGGCAGCACATTGAGCATCTTTTAATATTTGCATAGCACCTTGAGTAGCCTCGAGTGTTCAGGGAGCTTATTGAGTATCTTTTAACATTTACATAGTACCTTGAGTAGCCTCAAGTGTTCAGGAAGTATATTGAGCATCTTTTAATACTTACAGAACACCTTGAGTAGCCTCGAGTGTTCAGGCAGCATATTGAGCATCTTTTAATATTTGCATAGTACCTTGAGTAGCCTCGAGTGTTCAGGAAGCATATTGAGCATCTTTTAATATTTGCATAGCACCTTGAGTAGCCTCGAGTGTTCAGGCAGCACATTGAGCATCTTTTAATACTTACAGAGCACCTTGAGTAGCCTCGAGTGTTCAGCCAGCACATTGAGCATCTTTTAATATTTACATAGTACCTTGAGTAGCCTCGAGTGTTCAGGAAGCATATTGAGCATCTTTTAATATTTACAGAGCACCTTGAGTAGCCTCGAGTGTTCAGGAAGCTTATTGAGCATCCTTTAATACTTACAGAACACCTTGAGTAGCCTCAAGTGTTCAGGGAGCTTATTGAGTATATTTTAATATTTACTGAGCACCTTGAGTAGCCTCGAGTGTTCAGGGAGATTATTGAGTATCTTTTAATATGTACAGAGCACCTTGAGTAGCCTTGAGTGTTCAGGCAGCACATTGAGCATCTTTTAATATTTGCATAGCACCTTGAGTAGCCTCTAGTCTTCATGAAGCTAACTAAACAACTTCAGTCCCTGTGCCGCAAACTTTTTTTTAAGGTCAGATTCAGTTACCTCAGGTGCATGGACATGAGGAAGCTTTCATTGGGGTGTAAAAAGATAAGAAATTATTTGGCTAATTGATAGAGGAAGAATAAATGTGAGAGATATAGGCGTGATGGGTGAACCTATATGAAAAATGATATGGTTAACCGCAGTTTTATTTACTAACGCTGGGCGGCTGTTGTTCGTATAGCTGAACACGTGGCAGCGGCCATCTTAAACCATTGAACGATCAGCGGTGTTCAGTTACAAAACTCTGGAACTGAAAACGGACACTTTTCTTCACAAACACCGCTGAAGCCGTCGACCCCCCTTCTCATGCATTCCTTCATTTATCCGAACGCTGGGCCGTTCGGGACTTTGGTTATGTGAACAGTGCTACCCCAGATAGCTATCCCATGGAGCCCATTCGTATACTGAAAGACTATGTGAAAGACTTTAGCTCCATGGCGATTGAACTATATGTATGTGATCTGAGCGCCATTAAGTAATAATGTGCGCTCAGATTTACGCTATCTGGGACTATGTTGAATGTATTTGTTTTATGCAGTAGTTATTGTGTATTTTTATGTCTTTTATTGTCATGTGTATAATGGAGTTTTGCCTCTATCCTAGGAGATAATTGAATTCCTTCCCAATTATCTCCCAATTATCTCCAGGATAAGAAGCTTCCATTTGCTCATCCTTGCAGTCTTGTATTTGTGTGCAGTGTCTGAGTGTTTGAATACAGGCTCTTTTATATATGTGAATTTCAATGGAGTATTTGTGTGTAGTGTTGGAGTACTGGTCAGGATTACCATTGATTCAGACTTAAAGTGAATGTGGTTAAAGAGTTTTTTGGAATTATCATTGATAGGGTTTATGAGTGATTGGGAACAGGAATTATGATTAGGAGTGTTTGTAATATGGAGTGAATTGAGAGAATTGGTAGGCGTTAGTAGCAATTTAAATTAGGGGTGATAGGGATTAGGAGTGATTTGGAATATAAGTGATTGATTGAGATTACAAGTGATTGTGATTATGATCAACAGGGTTTAGGAGTGCATGGGATTAGAGATTATCAGGATTAGGAGTGATTTGAATTAGACATAACATTAATTAGCACTGAATGAGATTAGCAGTCATTGGGATTATGAGCGATTAGGATTAGCTGTGATTGAGATTAGCAGTGATATGAATCAGAAGTGATTGGGATTAGGAGTAATCTGTGTATCCTTGAACAGTGCCTTTCTCAGTGATTGTTGTGATTTAGGGCTTTCTATATATTGAAAGAGCAAAGTCTGAGCTGCGATGATTTGCTTGTATTGTTCTGTAAACATTGAGTTTATTTAATTTTAATGAATGCCAGCATTATAGTATTAGAGGGGGAGAAGGTAAAGGACCATGGCTGGCTTTATGGCCCAGATTTGGGGTAAGCAGATCAGAGTACGATATATTGAGATCCATGTTTAATATTGTAATATTTAATTCCTATGTGCCAGATATCTCACCTTCTATCACACTTGCCTTTTTCCTATCACTTACTTCAGACAAGGATTAGGATTAGGATATCCCTGGCCCCTAGGCAAGTTACCAAGCACCACCCCTAGGCCCTTGTCCAACTCCTGGACCCTCGGCTGCATTAGGTGGCCATCGTTGTCCCTCTCTCTATCTGCTCCCCTCTGTCTGTCTCTCTGTGTGCCCCCCCTCTATCTCTATCTCTTTTACTATTTGCCCAATCTCTCTCTCTGTCTCTCCCTTTGACCCTTCTTTCTCTTTCTTTCACTTTATCTGCCCCATCTCTCTTTCTCTCATTTTATCTGCCCATCTCTTTGCCCCTCTCTGTCTATATGTCCCATCTCTCTCCCTATTTTTCCCCTCTTCCTATCTCTGTCTTCATTCTCGCTGTCTCCCATTCTTTAAGTTGTTTTCCCTCTCTCATTTTCTCTCTCCCTGTGTTTTCTCTCTCTTTCACTCTCTCTTTTGGCACGAGGCAGTGCTCCATATCTCTTATTAATGTCCATAAAACAATGACTAGTCTGATTATTAACAATGATTATTAATGGCTGTAGTGTCAGGACTTTAGTCAATTTGCGTGTCTCTCCATTTTCTGAGTATCTTCCTCTTCACCTAACGTCCTACAGCCAGTCTCAGTGTGTTCCTTCGCCCCCACTGCCAGTGACACTTTCTGTCTCTGGCTGTCTCACTGATATTTAATAGCTCAGGTTTTGCAAGCAGTCACGTGACGCTCTATATATATCTATATATCTGTATACCTGTGCATGCACCCAAACTTAGCTCCTTCCTCCTGGAGTCTCTGAGGATCAGACCACCGCTGAGTGGGAGAGATTTCCATTGAGATTCAAGCCGGGGCACAGATGAGACATTTGGAGGTTATGTAAAAATACTCTGACTCTTAACAGTCTCTTTCCAGAATAAGAAGAGAGTTAAGGACAGTTAGTAAAGAACAGAACATGTTTAATGGAAGGTCCAAGAACAACCACAGAAGAAAAGAGACAGATGCTTTATACTAGAATACACTCACAACAGAGAGAGAGAGACTCGTGGATTTAAGTAGGATTGACCCCTTAAAGAACCAAAGACGTGTGAGGGAATGAAAGACAAACAAGGGCAAATAAGAGACCACAACTGAGGGGGGAAACATCAGTTGAAGAGAGATCTGGTTGGGTGAGACACATCTGGTGGAAAGGAAAGGACTTTACATAAGTTTGAGGTAGAACTCATACATGGAACTTGCTAAGGAATCAAAAACGAATGCCTGTAAATCAGGCTGGTGGGGAGATGATATTCAGTACCAATATATTCAACTGCGAGACTGCTCCAGCTATGGCATCCCCTGCCAAGCAACTTCACCTTCACAGGACACCCCAGGGGAGCAGGTCACCCCACAAGCTAAGGTAGGGTCAGAAATCAGCCGTATGCAAGGAATGGGGGTTTACATAATTACACATTTCAAGGATTCGATTTCTTGTGGGTATTGAAAGACCTGGGTGTTTTTGTGCGTGGTGGAGGGTTTAATGGGTTTAACAGCATGGGGTGCAATTGAGATTGCTGCCATATATTGTTGGGGTGCATCTATCAAAGTAGTTAAATAGGGAGTTTGAGTGGAGGAAACATTTCTATCTGGATACAGTAGGATTATCGGGGAGAGTCGTGAATTGCAGAGTCTTGGAGGTCTCATAGACTGGATGATTCTCATAGACAATTAGTTGTTTAGGGTACCATGAAGCAGTGAGAGGCTAGTATGCAATAAATGGCATCCGTTACTTGTGATAAGTCATTTTATAACTTTTATAAGGTTTACTGATAGATTACAATGGAATTATACTGAATCAATTGTAACAGCTGCACCCTGATGATGTATGCATGTTTGGGTAAATGTACTTTATATTGGATGTTAGAGCCTCCCTCCCTGTCATAAGGTCCTGGGTTTACAGGGTCAAAGAGTGAGTGAGTGGAATAGTAAATAGGGCTTGGCTGGAGACCTATGAGCCCTGTTTTTAAAGATAATACATTGTATCTGTGAATATATTATTTTCTAATAAGGTACGTGGAGTTAACCAATGGGAGGCCATTGAATAGCAGCTGAGTCATTAGGAGGTAAATGGGGCAAGGGAGGCATTTCATCAAAGCCCTGTCATTGTATCTACTAGTTAAATAATCACTTCACTATCTGAATACATTGTAATTGGTAATTACTGCCATAAACCAGATTTCTCCTTTCTACGGCCTCGACAGAGCCTGAACATTTCACCATTGGTATCATCTCCTTGGCAGTATGTGTGAAGCTAAGAACCATGTGTACTAATTCCCTGCAAGTAGAAACATAGAAACATAGAATGTGACGGCAGATAAGAACCATTCGGCCCATCTAGTCTGCCCAATTTTCTAAATACTTTCATTAGTCCCTGGCCTTATCTTATAGTTAGGATAGCCTTATGCCTATCCCACGCATGCTTAAACTACTTTACTGTGTTAACCTCTACCACTTCAGCTGGAAGGCTATGCCATTCAGCCACTACCTTCTCAGTAAAGTGATATTTGCTGATATTATTTTTAAACCTTTGTCCCTCTAATTTAAGACTATGTCCTCTTGTTGTGGTAGTTTTTCTTCTTTTAAATATAGTCTCCTCCTTTACTGTGTTGGTTCCCTTTATGTATTTAAATCTTTCTATCATATCCCCCTCGTCTTTCCTCCAAGCTATACATGTTAAGATCCTTTAACCTTTCCTGGTAAGTTTTATCCTGCAATCCATGAACCAGTTTTGTAGCCCTTCTCTGAACTCTCTCTAAGGTATCAATATCCTTCTGAAGATATGGTCTCCAGTACTGCATACAATGCTAGTGAGGAGTATTGTACGCACTTCCCTCTTTCTACTGCTAATACCTCTCCCTATACAACCAAGCATTCTGCTAGAATTTCCTGCTGCTCTATTACATTGTCTGCCTACCTTTAAGTCATCAGAAATAATCACCCCTAAATCACTTTCTTCAGATGTTGAGGTTAGGACTCTATCAAATATTCTGTACTCTACCCTTGGGTTTTTACGTCCAAGATGCATTATGCATTATGCGAGTGTGAGTGCTCTGTACTAAATCCTGGGCAGTTAAGGTATATGTGAGTGTGAGTGCTCCCTTATTAATTTGTGGGGATTTAACATATATGTGAATGTGAGGGTTCTGTACTAATTCCCAGCGAGTTAGGATATATTTCAGCTTTGCACTAATTCTCGAGGAGTTAGGAAATATGTTAGCGTAAGTTCCCTAACTCCCTGGGGGTTAGTATAAGTGTGAGGTCTTCATACTAATACCTGATGGGTAGTGTGAGTTCTCCATAAAAATTTCCTGGGTGTGAGTTCCCCATTATAATCATCTGTGGGTTAACGTATGTGTGTGTGTGTGTGTGTGTGTGAGTGCTCTTGGTGTTAGGGTATCTGTGAGTGTATGTGCTCTTGGAGTATGAGTGAGTGTGAGTTCACGACCCATGTTCGTAGATTGAGAGGTGGTATCACTTTCCTCCTAGTTCCAGCTCACCTTCCTGCCCTATTTTTAGATTCCTGATTTACGACCGATGCCCGCTATTTTCCTGGGGTCATTTCTATGGCAGAAATCTCAGTTCAGTCCATTCAAGTCACCGTAATTCACTGTATATTCTAATAAAAATAAGAAAGATCACAGCTTATTGCCAGATCTGACACAAATTGGGGTTTATTGGTTCAGGAAATTCCCACCAATTCCTAAATGAGACACAAAAATTAACATCAGCAATGTCAGGACCTATTGACCCCCAATCACTGTGGAAAGGCCCCGGTCTTTATCTTCCCTGACCCACCGTACAGAAGACCCGATTAATAACCAGGAGAAGTTCTTTCCAACCCTGTCAGCCAAGGAGCTAGGGGTGTGAGGTCAATATCTAATAGACCTAATGAACCCCTGGACCTAAAGTCTCTCTCACTGTGCCTGCTGTGAGTAAGGTAATGGAGCCCCAACCATTCTCTTAGCTGGAGTATTGAGTATACACTTGGCTCTGTAATCTGGCGATTTAGAACTGTCAGTGCCAGGCGTGTCAGGTACCCTCCGTGATGAAATGGGGCTGTGAGTCTGCCACTTCAGACAGGGATCCTCACTGAATCCAGGGTCATTACATATCTCCCCCAGCTGGTCTCAGTGTGTGTATTTCAAGAGCATTTATAAATATGTTAAAAAGAAGTGGTCCCAAAACAAAACCCTGAGGGACATCACTTACCACTTTTGTCCAGCCTGAAAATTTACCATTAATGACAACTCGTTGTACTCTATCCTTAAGCCAATGTTCTACCCAAGAACAAGAATATTCATCTAGACCAATTTCTTTTAGTTTGAAGACTAACCTATTGTGAGGAACCGTATCAAATGCCTTGGCAAAATCCAAGTAGATCACATCCACTGCAACACCCTGATCTATACTTCTACTTAATTTTTCGTAGAATGCAATTAGGTTAGTTTGACATGACCTATGTTTCATAAAACCATGCTGATTATTGCTAATAACAAAGTTCTTCCCAATAAATTCCTGAATATTATCCCTTAATAGCCCTTCAAATATTTTCCCAGTTAAAGTTAAGCTCACAGGTCTATAATTTCCAGGCAAGGATTTTGAACCCTTTTAAAATATAGGAACAACATCTGCCTTCCTCCAATCCTCCGGTACAACACCTGAAACAAAATAATTTTGAAAAATTAAATACAGAGGTTCACTTATTTCCCCACTTAGCTCCTTAAGTACTCGTGGGTGAATACCGTCAAGCCCCAGAGCTTTATTTACATTAATTTTCTTTAATAGCTGTAGCACCTTGTCTCAAGTTATCCAATCACAAGTTATTTGCATATCTCTTGCCATAGGATCCTCATTAATATATACTGAAGAAAAATAGTTATTTAAAATTTCTGCTTTTTCCTGGTCTTAATTAGCTAATAAACCCAACTCTGTTTCCAGTGTATCTACACTTTAATTTTTTGTTTTTTTAGAATTGATGTACTTGAAAAAATATGTACATTCAACTACTTATTTGGTTGCACTAATTTGCATACCTGCATTATGTAAAGGTACACATTTCTATTCAGTCAGCAGAGGGCACTCTAGAGTTATCACAATCACAGTACCAATGCACCAGTTGAACATTAACTGCTACTGTCACAACGCCCTGCAACTGTAATATACACAAGGTGACGTAAATATAAGAGTCCTTAAGGGACCTACAGTGATGGAAACAAGTATTTGATCCCCTGTTGATGTTGAACTTTTGTTCAATGACAAAGAAATGATCACGCTATACTTTTAATGGTAGCTGTATTTTAACAGTGAGAGACAGAATAACAAATTTTTTTTTTCCCACATAAACGCTTGTCAAAAAGTTATACATTGATTTGCATGTCAATGAGTGAAATAAGTATTTGATCCCCTATCAGTCAGCAAGATTTCTGGCTCCCAGGTGTCTTTTACACAGGTAACAAGCTGAGATTAGGAGCACTCTCTTAAAGGGACTGCTCCTAATCTCAGCTCGTTACCTGTTAATGATCTCAGGGCAGCTGGGACCATAGTCACCAAGAAAATAATTGGTAACACACTACGCCATGAAGGACTGAAATCCTGCAGCGCCCGCAAGGTCCCCCTGCTCATGAAAGCACATGTACAGGCCCGTCTGAAGTTTGCCAATGAAAATCTGAATGATTCAGAGGAAAACTGGGTGAAAGTATTGTGGTCAGATGAGACCAAAATCGAGCTCTTTGGCATCAACTCAACTCGCCGTATTTGCAGGAGGGGAAAAGCTGCCTATGACCCCAAGAACACCATCCCCACCGTCAAACATGGAGGTGGAAACATTATGCTTTGGGGGGTGTTTTTCTGCTAAGGGGACAATACAACTACACTGCCAGGAATTTGGGGACCCCAGGCAAAATGGACATGGAGTACCCCCCACCCACACGCATACACGCAAAGTCTACAGGAACCACAGTAAAGCCATACAGTTTAAGTTCACCCACACTTTATATAAATAAAAAAGGTTTACAAAGGTTTATTAATATTGCTATAAAAATTTAATTAAAAAAAAGATTGAGGAAAAAAAAAGGTTTACAGTGCAAATACTGCCGTTGCATATACTGTGCATAAATAAAAAATGTTTACAGTGCAAATACTGCTGTTGCACAGGCCCGGACTGGCCATCGGGCATACCGGGCAAATGCCCGGTGGGCCGCGATGGCCGTGGGGCCGAGGCCGGCAGGGAGATCACAAGATCTCCCCGGCCGGCCCGTGCTGGGCCAGCGCTATCCGAGCGCCAGCCCTGCTGTGTGTCTTCATGGGCCGGTGGGGAGATCAAAGATCTCCCTCACCGGCCCACAGACAGGGAGATGCGGCCGCCAGCTGGGTGAGGGAGGGAGGAGAGAGGACCCGACGGAGCTCTAACAAGCAGCTCCGCCGGGTCCTCTCGCGAGATTCTGAGCGTTGCCGCGGCAACGCTCAGATCTCGCGAGAGTGAACTCTAACCTGCAGGTTAGAGTTCACTCTCACCACTGGACCACCAGGGAAGGCAGCATGGCTCCCCCTCCCAGGCAGACGGCTCCCTCCCCCTCCCAGGCTAAAGGTAAGAAGGGAGGTGGGGGGGACATAACTTTAAAAAAAAAATTATTAATAAAAAAATATATATATATTTAAAATGAATTCCCAAACAGCACCCCCAGACACACACAGCCCCCTCCCACACAGCACCCCCAGACACACACACACAGCACCCCCAGACACACACACACAGCACCCCCAGACACACACAGCCAACACACACACACACAGCACCCCCAGACACACACAGCCAACTCACACACTGCACCCCCCCCCAGACACACACAGCACCCCCAGACACACACACCACCCCCAGACACACACACAGCACCCCAGACACACACTGCACCCCCAGACACACACAGCCAACTCACACACTGCACCCCCAGACACACACAGCCAACTCAACACACACTGCACCCCCAGACACACACTGCACCCCAGACACACACTGCACCCCAGACACACACAGCAGACACACACACAGCAGACACACACACAGCAGACACACACAGCACCCCCAGGCACACACACAGCAGACACACACAGCACCCCCAGACACACACACAGCACCCCCAGACACACACACAGCACCCCCAGACACACACACAGCACACCCAGAGACACACAGCACCCCCAGACACACACACAGCACCCCCAGACACACTCAGCACACCCAGACACACTCAGCACACCCAGAGACACACATAGCACACATATATACATATACATATATATATATATATATATATATATATATACACACACACACACACTACAGCACCCCTCACACTGCACCACTACACACATTACGCTCCAGATACACGCTAGATCCCTTACCCTATATGCACTCTTAATCCTCTGCACACACACACACAATCTTCTATACACACTCTGGGTCCTTTACACACTAGATCTCTTACACACACAGTGCACCACCTACACACACACACTACATTCCTTGTAAGGAAACACATACAACATTCTCTAAACACACCCTCTCTACAACCCCTACACACACTACATCACCTATACACACACACTACTGCCCGTATGCACACACTCGCTACGTCCCCTATAACACTATGCCCCTATACACGCATTCTCTACAGCCCATAGCCACACCTATTACACCACACATATTACACCTATTTACACAATACCACACCACACTCTACACACAGGCAATCCCACAAGCAGGCGCCAAACACATGCACCATACACTTTCCTGGCCCTTTTGACCTCTGGTATCCTACTTGTGGAGACACCAGAGACAATTTAAAAGCAAACACAGTGCAAGCATGTTATTACATTTGCTTGCGCTGCGCAGAACAAATACAGGGCCTTTTTCTAAAGCCAGAGCTCTTCAGCGGGGCTCTGCACATTGAACCAACATGCTCACTTTGAGAGGGGGCGTGCTTGCCATTAGTGATGACAAAACACACCCTCTCTGGCCCCGCCCCCTTCTTGGGGGGCCGCTCTAATTGAAAAATGCCCGGGCCTAATTTTTTTCCCAGTCCGGCCCTGCTGTTGCATATAATGTGCATACAATTTGAACATTTGCAAAAAACACCACTGTACCATAAAATCAAATATACATTAAAAAAGTGCACAATAACTAAATCCCCTTCACCTCACCTCCCCCTTCCCTGTGTAGAAACATAGAAATATAGAATGTGATGGCAGATAAGAACCATTCGACCCATCGAGTCTGCCCAATTTTCTAAATACCTTATCTTATAGTTAGGATAGCCTTATGCCTATCCCACGCATGCTTAAACTCCTTTACTGTGTTAACCTCTACCACTTCAGCTGGAAGGCTATTCCATGCATCCACTACCCTCTCAGTAAAGTAATACTTCCTGATATTATTTTTAAACCTTTGTCCCTCTAATTTAAGATATGTCCTCTTGTTGTGGTAGTTTTTCTTCTTTTAAATATAGTCTCCTCCTTTACTGTGTTGATTCCCCTTATGTATTTAAATGTTTCTATCATATCCCCCCGTCTCGTCTTTCCTCCGAGCTATACGTGTTAAATTCCTTTAACCTTTCCTTGTAAGTTTTATCCTGCAATCCATGAACCAGTTTAGTAGCCCTTCTCTGAACTCTCTCTAAACTATCAATATCCTTCTGAAGATACGGTATTCCAGTACTGCGTACAATACTCCAAGTGAGGTCTCACCAGTGTTCTGTACAATGGCATGAGCACTTCCCTCTTTCTACTACTAATGCCTCTGCCTATACAACCAAGCATTCTGCTAGCATTTCCTGCTGCTCTATTACATTGTCTGCCTACCTTTAAGTCATCAGAAATCCCCCCTAAATCCCTTTCCTCAGATGTTGAGGTTGAGGTTAGGACTCTATCAAATATTCTGTACTCTGCCCTTTGGTTTTTACATCCAAGATGCATTATCTTGCACTTATCCACATTAAATGTCAGTTGCCACAACTCTGACCATTTTTCTAGTTTACCTAAATCATTTGCCATTTGGCTTATCCCGTCTGGAACATCAACCCTGTTACATATCTTAGTATCATCAGCAAAAAGACATGCCTTACCATCAAGACCTTCTGCAATATCATTAATAAAAATATTAAAGAGAATGGATCCAAGCATTGGCGGATCCAGGGGGGGGGCAACGGGGCAATTGCCCCCCCCTCGAGATTCTCCCCTGCCGGCTAATGCAGGGCTGGCATTGTAAAAGGGCAAGCCCTGATATGTGCCTGCGGACCGGGGAGGGACATCAGTGATCTCTCTCCCCGGTCCGCAGGCACAGTGCTGACAGCTGGCAGGGGAGGGAGTGAGGACCCGAGGACTCAGTCTGCAGCTCCTCCGGGTCCTCCTCTCGCGAGATTTGGAGCGTTGCCGCGGTTACAACGGCTACGCTCCAAATCTCGCGAGAGTGAAGTCTAGCCCTGGAGCGCGGGCTAGACTTCACTTCACACTGGACCACCAGGGATTCACCACGGACCACCAGGGAATCCCCAGAAATGTCCCCCCTCCTCCTCAACAAAGGTAAGAAGGGAGGGGGGACAGCAATATATTTTATTAAATACTTTTTTTTCTTTTAAAGCCTCCATACCCTCCTTCCTCTCCCACACACACACATACACTGCCCCCCAAACACACATACACTGCCCACCACACATACACTGCCCCCAAACACACATACACTGCCTCCCACACATGCACTGCCCCCACACACACTGCCCCAAACACACATACTGCCCCAAACACACATACACTGCCCCCCCACACACATACACTGCCCCAAACACACATACACTGCCCCAAACACACATACACTGCCCCCAACACACACACATACACTGCACCCAAACACACATACCCCCACACACACACACTGCCCCCACACACACGTACACTGCCCACCCATACACACACTGCCCCACAAACACTGCACACCCATACACACACAGACACATACAATGCCCTACACACACTGCTGCCCCACACACACACTGCCCCCCATATATACAGTGCCCCCCATACATAAAGTGCCCTCCCTATACACACACTGCCCCACACAGACATACAGTGCCCCCCATACACACAATGCAACCCTGACATACACTGCCGCCCTCACGCACTCACACACACACTTCACCGCTCACACACACTTCACTTTTCACACACACTTCACCCCTAACACACACCGCTGCTCCTATGCCCTATATCCCAGCAGACCCCAGGTAAGTTGTCAAACTGTTCTTAAACAGTATGACTACTTACTCTGGGGTGGGATCCTGGCACTACTGGCACCATAACTACTACACTGAGCTGTAGTGGTTATTGTGCCAGGATTATTTATTTAAATAATCTACAAGTTCCCCTCCCGAGATCAGACTCTGGATCCGCCACTGTATCCAAGTACAGATCCCTAAGGTACCCCACTGATGACAAGCCCAAGCTTTGAATATACTCCATTGACTACAACCCTCTGTTGCCTGTCACTCAGCCATTGCCTTACCCATTCAACAACATTGGAATCCAAACTTAAAGATTGCAATTTATTGATAAGCCTTCTATGTGCAACAGTGTCAAAAGCCTTACTGAAATCTAGGTAAGCAATGTCTACTGCACCACCCTGATCTATAATTTTAGTTACCCTATCAAAAAAATCGATAACATAATTTGGCATGGTCTCCCTGAAGTAAACCCATGTTGTCTCTGATCTTGAAATCCATGTGTTTTTAGATGTTCATCAATCCTATCCTTTAACATGGTTTCCATCACTTTCCCCACTACTGAAGTAAGGCTTACTGGCCTATAGTTGCCCGACTCCTCCCTATTACCTTTCTTGTAAATGGGCACAACATTCGCTAACTTCCAATCTTCTGGGACTACTCCTGTTAACAATGATTGGTTAAATAAATCTGTTAATGGTTTTGCTAGTACACCACTAAGCTCTTTTAATAGCTTTGGGTGTATTCCATCAGGTCCCATTGACTTATTTGTCTTTACTTTTGACAGTTGAAATAGAACCTCTTCCTCTGTAAACTCACGTGTAATAAATGACTCATTTATCCTTTTTCCTAACTGAGGTCCCTTTCCTTCATTTTCATCTGTAAATACAGAACAAAAATATTAATTGAGGAAGTCAGCCTGACCTTTATCCTCTTCTACATACCTTCCTTCTTTTGTGTTTAATCTAACTAATCCTTGTTTTACGTTCCTTTTCTCATTTATGTATCTAAAAATGTTTTGTCCCCTTTTTTTTACTGACTCTGCTATTTTCTCTTCTGTGTGGGATTTGGAAGCTCTTATAGCTTGCTTAGCCTCTTTCTGCCTAATCTTATAGATCATTTTGTCTTCCTCCTTGTGTTCTCATCATCTCCCCTTCTCCTTACCTCCCCTCCCTGTGTTCTATTAATCTCCCCTTCTCCACACCTCCCCCTCCCTGTGTTCTCCTCATCTCCTTACCCCCCTCCCTGTGTTCTTCTTACTCCTCCCCCTCCCTGTGTTCTTCCTACTCCTTCCCCCCTCCCTTTGTTCTTCTTTCTGCCCTCATGTTCTTCTTACTCCTCCCCCCATGTTCTTCTTTCTGCCCCCATGTTCTTCTTACTCTTCCCCATGTTCTTCTTACTACTCCCCCCTCCCTATGTTCTTCTTACTACTCTCCCCTTCCCCCCTCCTATGTTCTTCTTACTCCCCTCCTGTGTCCTTCTTACTCCCCTCCCGTGTCCTTCTTACTCCCCCCTCCTGTGTCCTTCTTACGTGTCCTTCTTACTCCCCCTCCTGTGTCCTTCTTACTCCCCTCCTCCCCCCCTATGTTCTTTTTACTCCCCCCTATGTTCTTCTCACCTCCCCTTCACTGTAGCGTGGCCGAGCTCCTCTTCCTCCGGTCAGTCTGGCCGGGTACCGCCCGGTAACAGGAGATTCAGTTTACTGTTCCCAGCCGGACTGAAAAGAAATGAGCACTCAGTGTGCACTTCCTGTCAGTCCGGCCGGACTCAGGACTGACTGGAGGAAGAAGAGCACGGCCACGCTACAGGGAAGGGGAGGTGACGAGAGAGGCAACAAAGGAGTGGCTCAAGAAGAAGCACATTAAAGTCCTGGAATGGCCAAGCACGTCTTCAAACCTTAATCCCATAGAAAATCTGTGGAGGGAGCTGAAAGCTCGAGTTGCCTCAAAATCCTTAATGATTTGGAAAGGATCTACAAAGAGGAGTGGGACGATATCCCTCCTGAGATGTGTGCAAACCTGGTGGCCAACTACAAGAGACATCTGACCTCTGTGATTGCCCACAAGGGTTTTGCCACCAAGTACTCAGTCGAAGGGGTCAAATACTTCACTCATTGACATGCAAATCAATTCATAACTTTTTTGACATACGTTTTTCTGGATTAAAAAAAAAATGAATTCTGTCCCTCACTGTTAAAATACACTTACCATTAAAATGATAGACTGATCATTTGTTTGTCAGTGGGCAAACGTTCAAAAGCAGCAGAGGAGCTAATACTTTTTTCCCTCACTGTAAGAAAAGTGTAAGTTTTGTGTTCCCTTTCATGGTGACTGTCATCATCCCTCCCGACTCTGGGATTGATGCTATCACTGTAAAGGGGGGCGAATACTCCTTTGACACTCAATTTAGAAGGACATTACCAGTTCAGCTTATTGATGTGGTAATGGTGCCTGCAGATTTACATTTCTTACATTGTTGAAATGGGGCTTTAAAGATGATCTCATAGCTCCTCCTACCAACCCTGTCAATCAGAGCCATGAATTACACTGCGTTGTTGTACCTGCTCACTGAATGTATTTCTGGACTCTTTGACTGACAAGGACTTGTATGAGCAGCTTTGAAAAATGCTTTAAAGCCTTGCAAATACCATAACTACTTTAGTAAGCTGAACAGTTCCTAATGTGTCTCTTTAAGGGGATTGACATATATTACTAGAGGTGTGCATGTAAACCAACAAGTAGGACTTGAAGTGTAAACAGGGGGGAGTATTTTAAGAAATCCACTGGTAATTAGAGGGTCTATGGAAACTCTGGATTATAATAACTTCTCACCTTGGCACTAAATGTACAAATGAATCAAATGCCTTTTAATGTGCACCCAAACTAAGCGATTTGTCAAGAATTTACCTATTATAGCTTTATTTATTTTTTATAGCCGCAAAATTTGTCTGATTCTGAAGTACAAATTTAGGGTCCATTGTTTTGCTAATTTGTATTCAAAATGTGTACCTTAGTAAATATCACTCAACTAGGTCGTAGTATAGGAACATAGTAAGTGAGATTAAAATGGACTCATTTATGGCCACCCTGCACACCCACCCCTTCAAGCAACTATTTTTCCAACTATATTTTTCAGCAGATTTCGAACCTCGGCCGAGGGCAAAAGCATTGTTCTTCTGTCGGTGCATTCTGAGGAAGAACAGCCTATGAGTACAAAATAGGATTAATGAGCAAATAGTCTCAAACCATCCGGACCCCTATTGCCCCATTAATATCTGTACAACCCACTGCAAATTTAACGAACGGACACGTCGCTGCCAACAATGGTCCCCATAAATTTCACTTCTGGAACTGGACTCTTTCGCCAAAACTCTTCTAATTTTCACTGTTTAGGTTAAAAGTTTTCATCCTCTTGTCAATTTTCCACAATTCCCCTTTTAGTAAACAAACCACCAAATTAAAATTGGACCCTGTGCTCATCAAGTATTGCCAGCTCGCCTGTGAATGTGGAAGCATTCTGAACATTATTGGAGATCACTGCATGTGGCGTGCCATTCCTGTGTTCTATATAACAAGCGTTTCCTTAAACCAATTAAGCCTCACTAACCTCTGACATTATCTCATTGCATGATCACGTGATCCCATTTTTACCTAATTTACTTCTAGTTTGTGGCAGCCGATCCTGGGTGAGTCAGGTATAGTATTGATCTAGATAGAAATAGAAAGTTCTTGTGCAGAAAACATTGATTTATGAAGATCTTTCACCTAAAAGTTTGGCATTAATCAAATGAGCATAAAATATGTCTACAATTGTTATGACATTTCATAAAAAATCTAACAGATTATCTGGTATTTTAAGAGGGCACGTAAGACTAGCTTTAACTCTTTTTTTAATCCATTGCAAAAAAAGAGATACTCACCTTTGACGTTCGTGCATTTACTGTAAATCATAAATAAACACATTGAAACAATGGGGGTGGGACAGAACATTGTGATTGGCTGAGAACTGAATCCAGACAATCTCTGTTAGTAAGAGATTCAGACGGATGATGTTCGGGAATATGAATTCATAGCGCACATATTTACCTAACATGTAGATGACTTTTATTATTATTGCTATTATTAACTCTACGTATTATTTTTGCTACTTTACAGGCAGATTTAGACTATCCTATAGCTTCACCTGTAGTGTAATTGATTACATGAATAATTTGTATCACTTGTAATTATTTCTAGCTAATTGTCCACCTCCAGACAGCAGTTACATTGTAATGTCCATATCCCTTTAGTGTAAAATATAATGGGGGAGAGTGGGAGGTTAATTGCAGTGTGAGCTTCTGTATTCCGTGAGTATGCTACAGACAGTGGTTACATTGTAATGTCCATATCCATGTAGTGTTAAAGATATTGGGGGGGCGGGGGGGTTGGTTAATTGCCCCCCCCCCAGTATGAGCTGCTGTGTTCCCATGCATATTCTACAAACAGTGGTTACATTTTAATGTCCATATCCATGTAGTGTAAAAGATATTGGGGGGGCGGGGGGGTTTGGTTAATTGCCCCCATCCAGTATGAGCTGCCGTGTTCCCTGAGTATTCTACAGACATTAGTTACTTTGTTATGTCCGTATCCCTGTAGTTTAGTAGGTTTTGGTTATGGGATATTTACTCAGGATTAGGATTTGGATAGTTGGTTTTAGTTATGGAATATTAAGCAAGGATTGGGTTTTGGATAGGTGTTTTTGGTTATAGAAATTAACCCAGAGCAGGAATTTGGATAGTTTATTTAGGTTATGGGATATTAAGCCAGGATTGGGATTTGGATAGTTTATTTAGGTTATGGGATATTAAGCCAGGATTGGGATTTGGATAGTTTATTTAGGTTATGGGATATTAAGCCAGGCTTGAGATTTGGATAGTTGTTTTTGGTGATGGGATAATAAACCAGGATTGGGATTTGGAAAGTATTTGGTTATGAGATATGATGGTAGAATTGGGGTTTGGGTAGTTGGTTGTGAATATCAGACATTGAGACAGAATTGGGTTTTGGACTGTTGGTTTTGGTTATCAGGATTGGGTTATTGATAGATGGTTTTGGTTATGGGATATGAAGAGAGGAATGGGATTTGGTACTTTGCTTTGGTTATCAGATATGAACCCATCATTGGGATTTGAATAGTTGTTTTTGGTTATGGGATACTAAAACAGGATTGGGGTTTGAATAATAGGTTTTGGTTATGGGATATTAAGCCAGGATTGGGATTCGGATCGTTGGTTTTGGTTATGGGATATTAAACCAGGATTGGGATTTGGATAGTTTATTTATTTATGGGATATTAATCCATGATTGGGATTTGGATCGTTGGTTTTGGTTATGGGATATTAATCCATGATTGGGATTTGGATCGTTGGTTTTGGTTATGGGATTTTAAGTCAGGATTGGGAATTGGATAGTTTATTTATGGGATATTATCCATGATTGGGATTTATGGGATATTATCCATGATTGGAATTTGGATTGTTGGTTTTGGTTATATGATTTTAAGCCAGGATTGGGATTTGAATAGCTGCTTTTGGTTATGGGATAATAAACCAGGATTGGGATTTAAATAGTTGGTTTTGAATATCAGACATTAAGCCAGAATTGGGATTTGTATTGATTTAGTATTGGTTATGGGACAATAAACCAGAATTGGGATTTGGATTGTTGGTTTTGGTTATTGGGGTATTAAGTCAGGGTTGGAGTTTAAATTGGTGGTTTTAGTTATGTGATAATAAACCAAGATTGTGATTTGGATAGTTGGCTTTGGATAGGAGATAATAAGCCAGAATTGGGATATGGATAATTGGCTTTGGTTATGGTTAGTGATGTCGCCACGAACGGTTCGCCACGGACTCATCATTGAGTAAACTTTGACCCTGTACCTCACAGTCAGCAGACACATTCCAGCCAATCAGCAGCAGACCCTCCCTCCCAGACCCTCCCACCTCCTGGACAGCTCACTAAGAATGCAGCTTCACAATGAATGAAAAATGGATGCTGTCCAGGAGGTGGGAGGGTCTGGGAGGGAGGGTCTGCTGCTGATTGGCTGGAATGTGTCTGCTGACTGTGAGGTACAGGGTCAAAGTTTACTCAATGATGAGTCCGTGGCGAACCATTCGGTGAACAGTTTGGGACATTACTAGTTATGGTATATAACGCCAGGACTGTATTTAGATGGTATGTCTTGGTTATGAGATAATGCACCAGGATTGGAATTTGGATAGTTTCATTTGGTTATCAGATATGAACCCGGCATTGAGATTTGGATAATTGACTTTGGTTATGGGATATTAAGCAAGGACTGTATGTGGACGTTGGTCTCGGTTATGGGATTTTAAACTAGCATTTGGGATTTGGATAGTTGGTTTTGGCTATGGGATAGCAAAACAAGACTGAGATTTGAACAGTTGGTTTTTATTATGGGATAATAATCAAGGATTTTGATTTGAATAGTCTGCTTTGGTTGTCAGATACAAACCCAGCATTAGAATTTGGATAGTTGGTTTTGGTTATGGGATATTTGGGTAGGATTGGGATTTGAATAGTTGGTTTTGATTAGGGAATAATAATCCAGGATTTAGATTTGAACAGTTTGCTTTGGTTATCAGATGAACTGCACTGGAACCGCACTGGAATTTGGATAGTTAGTGTTGGTTATGACTAGGATTTGGATAGTTGGTTTTGGTTATGGAATATTAAGACAGTATTGGGATTTGGATATCTGATTTTGGTTATGGGATATTGGGATTTGGATAGTTGGTTTTGATAGTTGGTAGTTGGATAGTTGATAGTTGGATAATTGGTTATGGGATAGTTGGTTTTGGCTATGGGATTTGGATAGTTGGTTTTGGTTATGGGATATTAAGACAGGATTGGGATTTGAATAGTTAGTTATGGTTACCGGATAGTAAACCAGGATTGAGATTATGGTAGTTGGTTTTGGTTATGTGATATTATGCCAGGATTGTGATTATGGTAGTTGGTTTTGGTTATGTGATATTATGCCAGGATTGAGATTATGGTAGTTGGTTTTGGTTATGTGATATTATGCCAGGATTGAGATTATGGTAGTTGGTTTTGGTTATGTGATATTATGGCAGGATTGGGATTATGGTAGTTGGTTTTGGTTATGTGATATTATGCCAGGATTGAGATTATGGTAGTTGGTTTTGGTTATGTGATATTATGGCAGGATTGGGATTATGGTAGTTGGTTTTGGTTATGTGATATTATGGCAGGATTGGGATTATGGTAGTTGGTTTTGGTTATGTGATATTATGCCAGGATTGAGATTATGGTAGTTGGTTTTGGTTATGTGATATTATGCCAGGATTGGGATTATGGTAGTTGCTTCTGGTAATGTTATAATAAACTATGATTGGGATTTGGATAGTTAATTTTTGTTATTTCATATTGTGCGAGGATTTGGATAGTTGATCTTGGTTATGGCATAATAAACCAAGATTTGGGTAGTCAATGTTTGTTATGGGATATGAAGAGAGGATTGTGATTTGGATAGTTGGTTTTGGTTATGGAATTTGGATAGTTGGCTTTGGTTATTGAATAATGAACCAAATTTAGGATTTGGATAATTGGCTTTGGTTGTGGGATAATTAGCCAGGACTGGAATTTGTATAGTTGTTTTTGTTATGGGATAATAAGCCAGACCTGGGATTTGGATCATTGGCTTTGGTTGTGGGATAATTAGCCAGGACTGGAATTTGGATCATTGTTTTTCTTATGGGATAATAGGACAGGACTGAGATTTGGGTAGTTGGTTTTGGTTATGGAATAATAAACCAGACCTGGGATTTGGATCATTGGCTTTGGTTGTGGAATAATAAACAAGGAATTTAATTGGATAGTAGGGTTTGGTTATGGGATAATTAGCCAGGATTAGGATTTGCATATGTGCAATTGCTTTGGATAAGGGGTAATTGGTAGAGATTGGGTTTGTACTTTCTGTGAGAATTTTATTTTAAGATAATTATTATTTGACTGCTGTTGTGATTTTGGAGGGGTAATGATTGGAGTACATGAATCAGGTTGGGATTTAACTTGTCATTAATGTTCTATGCTCACTTCTCATAGACCTATGGGCATTATACAGAGGAGCTGTCCCAATTTGCTCGAAAAGAAGCGGCTAAATTATTGCAAGAGAAGCAAACTGCAACCAAACCACCAGACGTGAAGACAGAGTGTTACTCCAAATGCCAAGGTAAATGAATTGCATGGCATCATGTGCTGTGCCATATTGGGTGGGATTGTGGTATTACGTGTTTACTGCATGTAAAAGGGTCTCATGACATATTCTGTAACATTATGTGTAATATGAAGATCATTGTTATGTATTACTTTGCTGTGATTCGGTATCACATTTTTCCAAGCTTTCTATCCAATTTTATTGTGTTGTAGAATGTGTAACAAATCACATGATGCAGATGATGTTGTGTCTTATTAAGATGTTTTGTTTTAGCAGTTTTAATTTTGTCTGACGTTGTTTCATGTTGCTTTATTTTAATGTTTTAAAGTTAGTAGTGTTTTTTGTATTGCATTGTTGTAATATTGTATGGTATTGCGGTGTAGTATAATGATATGGTGTATACTTTGTCATGTAATAGTGTATGGTATTGCGGTGTAGTATAATGATATGGTGTATACTTTGTCATGTAATAGTGTATGGTATTGCGGTGTAGTATAATGATATGGTGTATACTTTGTCATGTAATAGTGTATGGTATTGCGGTGTAGTATAATGATATGGTGTATACTTTGTCATGTAATATTGTATGGTATTGTGGTGTAGTATAATGATATGGTGTATACTTTGTCATGTAATATTGTATGGTATTGTGGTGTAGTATAATGATATGGTGTATACTTTGTCATGTTGTAATATTGTATGGTATCGTGGTGTAGTATAATGCTATGTTGTATACTTTGTCATGTTGTAATAGTGTATGGTATTGCGGTGTAGTATAATGATATGGTGTATACTTTGTCATGTTGTAATATTGTATGGTATTGCGGTGTAGTATAATGATATGGTGTATACTTTGTCATGTAATATTGTATGGTATTGTGGTGTAGTATAATGATATGGTGTATACTTTGTCATGTAATATTGTATGGTATTGTGGTGTAGTATAATGATATGGTGTATACTTTGTCATGTTGTAATATTGTATGGTATCGTGGTGTAGTATAATGCTATGTTGTATACTTTGTCATGTTGTAATAGTGTATGGTATTGCGGTGTAGTATAATGATATGGTGTATACTTTGTCATGTAATAGTGTATGGTATTGCGGTGTAGTATAATGATATGGTGTATACTTTGTCATGTTGTAATATTGTATGGTATTGTGTAGACATGTGCAATTAGTTTCGGGCCGATTAATTTGGCCGAATTTCGGGCAATTCGGACATTCGGGTACTTTCGAATGTCCGAAGTGCAGAATTGCCAAAGTGCCGAATTACCGAGGTCCCAAATTTCCGAATTGCCGAAGTTCCGAAGCACAGTATTGCCTAAGTACTAATATACTTACCCAGTGGAAGAAGAAGAATGTTACACTGTATACAATTTTAAATAAAAAGTATACAAACATAGCCAGGATTCAGCTGTAAGCATTTGCAACACTTAAAACAATCAAGTAACACACATTCATATAAAATGTAAGTTACTTAGCCAGTCAGTGTAATGACAGGAATGAATAAGTAGATAACTCCCTAATTCCCACGGTATTAGGGAGCTATCTACTAAAAGGCTGAAAGACCTGAATTGGTCTTTCAGCCAAATTTACTAATACTAAGTAAAGATTACTTAGTATTAGTAAATTATGCCCCTACTCGCTATTCCGTGAGTAGGGGCATGTCTATTAAACAGTGAGCAGCCTGTGGCCCTAAAATAATAATTGGGGGGGACCCCCTGGCCCCCACCCCTGAGTGGTGGGTGGGGCCCCTAAATTAGAATGAGGAGGGAGGGCCTAATGTCCTCCCCCCTGGCCCCCACCCCATAGCGGTGGGTGGGGGCCCTAAAATACTAATTAGGGGGGGACCTAATGTCCTCCCCCCTGGCTCCCACCCCTGAGCGGTGGGTGGGGGCCCTTAATTAGAATGAGGGGGGAGGACCCCCTAGCCCCCACCCCTGAGAGGTGGGTGGGGGCCCTAAAATACTAATTAGGGGGGGGCCTAATTTCCTCCTGCCTGGCACCCACCCCTGAACGGTGGGTGGGTGCCCTAAATTAGAATGAGGGGGGAGAACCTAATGTCCTTCCCCCTGGCCCCCACCCCTGAGCGGTGGGTGGGGGCCCTAAAATACTAATTGGGGGGGGACATAATGTCCTCCCCTCTGGCCCCCACCCCTGAGCGGTGGGTGGGGGCCCTTAATAAAAAAATAACTCCCCCTCCCACGGGTGACTAGGGGTCCCCAAACCCCTAGTCACCCCCCTCCCCCCAAAAATTAACGCCTACCTACCCCCTCACCCTAAAAATAATAAGGGAAGACCATTTAACTAAGTACCTGGAAAAAAAAACTTACCATTTGATGTTTTCTTTCTTCTAAAATCTTCTTTTCTCAGCCCCAAAAAAGGCCAAATAAAAGGCCATAATAACCGACGCACTTAAAAAAAAAACGAGCGCAAAAAAAAATAATCCATCTTCACCTGGCGAGGGCTCCGCGCAGACTGAGCTCTGCAGGGTGGGGGAAGGCTTATAAAGCTTTGCCCCGCCCTGCAATTAGGCTCAGAGCACTCTGATTGGTGGGTTTAAGCCATCCAATCAGAGTGCTCTGACAGGTAAATGAAGAGACTGACAGGTAAGAAGTAATTTATAATAATAATTATATGGTGTATACATTGTCATGTGATAGTATATGGTATTGTGGTGTAGTATAATGATATGGTGTATACTTTGTCATGTTGTAATAGTGTATGGTATTGTGGTGTAGTATAATGATATAGTGTTCTAATGCTTTGTCATGTTGTATCATTTTGCAGCATGTTTACAGAGGGTCAAGCAGTACTTTATCCAGAAACTTGGAGAAGACTGGATATTCCTGGTTCTTCTTGGACTGGTCATGGCTCTTGTTAGCTGGAGTATGGATTATGCCAGCGCTAAGAGTCTGCAAGGTAACCCAGCTACACAAGTCTAACAAGTCTAATGGATTATTAGCTAAAGAATTACAATGTAACAGTTTTTCACTGGAAGAGTCCTGGGATGTCCTCTTATGGGGCTATATAAGGCTTCTTTGGGGGCAGCAGGAGGCCAGTGTTGGAGTTGAGATGGTCAATACAGGCATGATGTAGCTAACCAGCTACCCATCTCCCTCTGTCCCCCCGAGCCACCCATATTTATTTATTATTATTTATTTATTTATTATTGACATTTATATAGTGCCAACAGATTCCGTAGCACTTTACAATATTATGAGAGGGGGGATTTAACTATAAATTGGACGATTACAAGAGAACTTATAGGAACGATAGGTTGAAGAGGACCCTGCTCAAACGAGCTTACAGTCTATAGGAGGTGGACTGGGAATATCAATGAAATAAGGTGGAGTGAAGCAGAGCTGGAGGAGAGAGTAGAGTGCTGCCCTTAAGGAGAGAGCAAGAGACAGGTATGTGAGGTAGAGGTTACTTTGGGAGGCCATACGCTTTCCTGAAGAGATGGAAACTTCTTAAATGACACCCATATGACTTCTTGTAGTATGGCCAAGCTGCACTTTCTCTTTCTGACCAAACACAACACCCAGAGAAACTGGCCGCAGTATAAGGAGAGAGACACAGGATTTAACAATATGCTGTTTTGCCGCATGGCTGACAGATACACAGAGTTCACGTGTTGAGACTGAGCGGCTCGGCCAAATTACAGGAAGAGAGAGGAATGAACAGGGAACTACTCTCTGGGAGAGGCGAAGAGTGTGAGGGGTGTGAAGAATGTGGGCTACGGCAAAACGTGGCTTCTTCTGTGTCCTCCCTCTGACATGTTTTTTTTCATCTTGGGTACCTTTACTCCAATTCTTTTTAAATATTAAGCTCCTTTTGACAGGACCTTCTTCACCTCTTCTCTCTCTAAATGTTATTGTGTCTGTCAATGACTTTTCGTCAGATTGCACATAATGTTGCCGCTACATAAATGCCAATATTAATAATAATGTTAATAATAACCATTCCCAGACTATATTAGAATTTGAGTGCACAATCAATATGTAAACCCATTGTCTTGGTGCGATATCTTCGTAATAATTAGACTCCAGTTTCTAGAGTACATTACAGTATAAGGGTGCGATATCTTTGTAATAATTAGGCGCCAGTTTCTAGAGTACATTACAGTATAAGGGTGCGATATCTTCGTAATAATTAGACGCCAGTTTCTAGAGTACATTACAGTATAAGGGTGCGATATCTTCGTAATAATTAGATGCCAGTTTCTAGAGTACATTACATTATCTTTGTAATAATTAGGCACCCTGTTTCTTTTTGTTATTTCTTTAACAATTAGATGCCAGTTTCTAAACCATGTTACAATGTGAATACGTGATGTACGTTCCATTTTCCTGGAGCTAATTTGATGTCTGTTTTCAGCCTACAGGTGGATGTTTCAGAGCGTGTCACATAATGTTTGGTTGCAGTACCTTGCGTGGGTTTCTTATCCGCTCATCCTGATATTGTTCGCTGCCGTTTTCTGCCATATTGTATCTCCACAGGCTATAGGTAAAGTAAATGGGGTATAACGAGAAATGAAAATGAAAATAATATAACTAACATTATCTACAGCATTATCTACAGCAACTGAGCGTGAATTCAGCACATATTACCCATCATTCTTTATCACTCAGTCTGCAGCAAAGTTAAGGTCTATTCTAGGAGCAATGAGCACACTATGGGAAGACACCACATACTAGACAGACATTTCCTATATGGGGTCACTGTACCAGATAATATTTATACATTATGGTAGAATTTCTAGGAAGATGCATTCCCAGAATGCACAGAAAACCGGTTGCTTCCAATTTAATTATTCAGTCACATGACCTATTACCCAATATCAAGTAAATGAGACTGGTGCTCCTCAAAGCCCTTTATTGACCAGAAGTACTGAAAGGAGCAGTGTAGACGCCATCATTTTATTACGAGATATTGAACACAACTCTAAGAATTTTTATTATAATATTCACTCAGGTTGTTACCATAAATGCTGGGATTAGTGGGCTTTACATAGTCATGAATGGTCAGTTGTATACACTGATCAGTTACATCATTAAAACCACCTGGCTAATATAGTGTAGGTCCTCCTCATGTTGCCAAAACAGCTCTGATGCTTTGAGGCATGCACACCACAAGACGTCTGAAGGTGACCTGTGTTATCTAGGAAAAAGACATTAGCGAGGTTGGACCACCATAGATTGAATTTATTGTTCCAGCAGATCCCAAATCAGATTGAGATCTGGGGAATTTTGAGACCAAGGCAACGCCTTGAACTCTTTGTCATGTTTCTCAAACTATTCCTGAACAATTTTTGCACTGTGTAAAAATGCATTATCCTGTTGTAAGAGGCCACTGCCATCAGGTAATATTTTTGCCTTGAAGGGGTACACAAGGTCAGCAATAATCTTTATGTAGATGTACGTGTAAAAGTAACATCCACATGAATGCCAGGACCCAATGTTTCCCAGCAGAACCTTGCCCAGAGCATAACACTGCCTCTGCCGGCCTGCCTTCTTCACATCCTGCTGCCACCTCTTCCCCAGGTTAACGACAAACACACACCTGGCCATCCACCTGATGTATAAGAAAACGTGATTCATCAGATCAGGCAGCTTTCTAACAATTTTACTGCTCGCATCCCCATTGAAGGCGATTTAGGTGGTGGACAGGGGGTCATCATGGGCGCTCTGATCGGTCTGCAGAAGCACACCCAAATACACAGCAAACTGCACTGTTTTTCAGCAATTTGAGATATGGTAGTTTTTCTGTTTGATTGGACCACACAGGCTAGCCTTCTCTCCCCAAGTGCACCATGTAACGCCAGTTCACCGGCTGTCCTTCCTCCCTTACACCACTTTTAGTTGATAATAATCACTGCATACCGGGAACACCTTACAAAACTTGCCATTTTGGAGATGCTCTGACCCAGGCATCTAGCCATAGCTATTTAGCCATTGTCAAGTTACTCAGATCTTTTTGCTTGTCCATTTGACCTGACTCCAACACAAGAAATTGAAATACTGACTGTTCATTTGCTGCCTGATATATTCTACCCCTTGACAGGTCCCATTGTAACAATATAATCAATGCTATTCACTTCACCTGTCAGTGGTTTTAATGTTGCGGCGATCAGTGTATATCAGTTCTTCAGCCTAAGCTACCATACGAGTAACACAACACACACTTATATAAAATAATCAACCAAGACCTAAACTTCTGCTTAAGGTTTTATGCTTGGAGACTGTAAAATAACGATAAATAGTGTAGAAATAATGTGCTATAATACTAGGCACTTGCTCTTTGCTTGTTGCCTAATATATCGCACCCCTTACAGGAGTAGCTGTAACGATGTAATCATTACAGCTACCTGTCAGTGGTTTTATGTTGTAGCTAATCAGTGTGTGTGGATATTAAGGGTGGCAAAGTATTATGGGTGGCAAAGTATTATGGAGGATGTGGTTTACAGCCGTGTCCTACCTTTTAAATATAAGTAAGTGGTCTACCTTTTGGCGACCCCTGTTTAAGGGATATCCCATAAACCCCTGTGGCACGGATAACCAGAGAGCCCCAAGTTATGTCTTATTCTTGGAGTGAAGGGTGGGAAACACTCAGGCTGGACAGTTGGTTTGTTTTCTGAATAGCACATTGTCCTTCATACTCATCGTGATACAACTCCTTGAGCTTAGTCATTTAATTGAGGTTCTATAATTAGACACCGTAACCTGACTAATCTTTTGCAATGGAGAGAGGGGTATTTTTACTCACCCGGGGAGCTCAGTGCTCAATCATAAACCTGAAGCAACTGCTCAGCCCTGCAGACCCCAACTCAGGTACAAGTCACTAAATGTCATAGAATGAGCAGAGAGGAAGGGGCCTGTCTGCTGTGACTTCTATTATAAAATCAGCAAATGATTGTCTGTAATCTGGGCTTTATTCATTCAACACGAAGCTGTGCTGTCAACAGCACTATACATTTATACTGTATACCTATGGCTGTACCTCCCTCTACTGTAATGCAACCTGTAAAGTGCTGAATACACCTGTTAGCGCTATATAAATAAAATATACATACACTGTATACCTACTGCACTTACTGTACCTCCCTCTACTGTAATGTAACCTGTAAAGTGCTGAGTACACCTGTTAGTGCTATATAAATATAATATACATACACTGTATACCTACTGCACTTATTGTACCTCCCTCTACTGTAATGTAACCTGTAAAGTGCTGAGTACTCCTGTTAGCGCTATATAAATAAAATATACATACACTGTATACCTACTGCACTTATTGTACCTCCCTCTACTGTAATGTAACCTGTAAAGTGCTGAGTACTCCTGTTAGCGCTATATAAATAAAATATACATACACTGTATACCTACTGCACTTACTGTACCTCCCTCTACTGTAATGTAACCTGTAAAGTGCTGAGTACACCTGTTAGTGCTATATAAATATAATATACATACACTGTATACCTACTGCACTTACTGTACCTCCCTATACTGTAATGTAACCTGTAAAGTGCTGAGTACACCTGTTAGCGCTATATAAATATAATATACATACACTGTATACCTACTGCACTTACTGTACCTCCCCCTACTGTAATGTAACCTGTAAAGTGCTGAGTACACCTGTTAGTGCTATATAAATATAATATACATACACTGTATACCTAATGCACTTACTGTACCTCCACCTACTGTAATGTAACCTGTAAAGTGCTGAGTACACCTGTTAGCACTATATAAATAATATATACATACACTGTATACATACTGCACTTACTGTACCTCCCTCTACTGTAATGTAACCTGTAAAGTGCTGAGTACACCTGTTAGCGCTATATAAATATAATAAACATACACTGTATACCTACTGCACTTACTGTATCTCCCTCTACTGTAATGTAACCTGTAAAGTGCTGAGTACACCTGTTAGCGCTATATAAATACAATATACATACACTGTATACCTACTGCACTTACTGTACCTCCTTCTACTGTAATGTAACCTGTAAAGTGCTTAGTACACCTGTTAGCGCTATATAACTATAATATACATACACTGTATACCTACTGCACTTACTGTACCTCCCTCTACTGTAATGTAACCTGTAAAGTGCTGAGTACACCTGTTAGCGCTATATAAATAAAATATACATACACTGTATACCTACTGCACTTACTGTACCTCCCTCTGCTGTAATGTAACCTGTAAAGTGCTAAGTACACCTGTTAGAGCTATATAAATAAAATATACACACACTGTATACCTACTGCACTTACTGTACCTCCCTCTACTGTAATGTAACCTGTAAAGTGCTGAGTACACCTGTTAGTGCTGTATAAGTAAAATATACATACACTGTATACCTACTGCACTTACTGTACCTCCCTCTACTGTAATGTAACCTGTAAAGTGCTGAGTACACCTGCTAGTGCTGTATAAGTAAAATATACATACACTGTATACCTACTGCACTTACTGTACCTCCCTCTACTGTAATGTAACCTGTAAAGGGCTGAGTACACCTGTTAGCGCTATATAAATATAATATACATACACTGTATACCTACAGCACTTACTGTACCTCCCTCTACTGTAATGTAACCTGTAAAGTGCTGAGTACACCTGTTAGTGCTATATAAATATAATATACATACACTGTATACCTAATGCACTTACTGTACCTCCACCTACTGTAATGTAACCTGTAAAGTGCTGAGTACACCTGTTAGCGCTATATAAATAATATATACATACACTGTATACCTACTGCACTTACTGTACCTCCCTCTACTGTAATGTAACCTGTAAAGTGCTGAGTACACCTGTTAGCGCTATATAAATATAATAAACATACACTGTATACCTACTGCACTTACTGTACCTCCCTCTACTGTAATGTAACCTGTAAAGTGCTGAGTACACCTGTTAGCGCTATATAAATAAAATATACATACACTGTATACCTACTGCACTTACTGTACCTCCCTCTGCTGTAATGTAACCTGTAAAGTGCTGAGTACACCTGTTAGCGCTATATAACTAAAATATACATACACTGTATACCTACTGCACTTACTGTACCTCCCTCTACTGTAATGTAACCTGTAAAGTGCTGAGTACACCTGTTAGTGCTGTATAAGTAAAATATACATACACTGTATACCTACTGCACTTACTGTACCTCCCTCTACTGTAATGTAACCTGTAAAGTGCTAAGTACACCTGTTAGCGATATATAAATATAATATACATACACTGTTTACCTACTGCACTTACTGTACCTCCCTCTACTGTAATGTAACCTGTAAAGTGCTGAGTACACCTGTTAGTGCTATATAAATAAAATATACATACACTGTATACCTACTGCACTTACTGTACCTCCCTCTACTGTAATGTAACCTGTAAAGTGCTGAGTACACCTGTTAGCGCTATATAAATAAAATATACATACACTGTATACCTACTGTACTTACTGTACCTCCTCTACTGTAATGTAACCTGTAAAGTGCTGATTACACCTGTTAGCGCTATATAAATAAAATATACATACACTGTATACCTACTGCACTTACTGTACCTCCCTCTACAGTAATGTAACCTGTAAAGTGCTGAGTACACCTGTTAGTGCTATATAAATATAATATACATACACTGTATACCTACTGCACTTACTGTACCTACCTCTACTGTAATGTAACCTGTAAAGTGCTGAGTACACCTGTTAGCGCTATATAAATATAATATACATACACTGTATACCTACTGCACTTACTGTACCCCCCTCTAATGTCACCTGTAAAGTGCTGAGTACACCTGTTAGCTCTATATAAATATAATATACATACATTGTATACCTACTGCACTTACTGTACCTCCCTCTACTGTAATGTAACCTGTAAAGTGCTGAGTACACCTGTTAGCGCTATATAAATATAATATACATACACTGTATACCTACTGCACTTACTGTACCTCCCTCTACTGTAATGTAATCTGTAAAGTGCTGAGTACACCTGTTAGCGTTATATAAATAAAATATACATACACTGTATACCTACTGCACTTACTGTACCTCCCTCCACTGTAATGTAACCTGTATAGCGCTGAGTACACCTGTTAGCGCTATATAAATAAAATATACATACACTGTATACCTAATGCACTTACTGTACCTCCCTCCACTGTAATGTAACCTGTATAGCGCTGAGTACACCTGTTAGCGCTATATAAATACAATATACATACACTGTATACCTACTGCACTTACTGTACTTCCCTCTACTGTAATGTAACCTGTAAAGTGCTGAGTACACCTGTTAGCGCTATATAAATATAATAAACATACACTGTATACCTACTGCACTTACTGTATCTCCCTCTACTGTAATGTAACCTGTAAAGTGCTGAGTACACCTGTTAGCGCTATATAAATAAAATATACATACACTGTATACCTACTGCACTTACTGTACCTCCCTCTGCTGTAATGTAACCTGTAAAGTGCTAAGTACACCTGTTAGAGCTATATAAATAAAATATACACACACTGTATACCTACTGCACTTACTGTACCTCCCTCTACTGTAATGTAACCTGTAAAGTGCTGAGTACACCTGTTAGTGCTGTATAAGTAAAATATACATACACTGTATACCTACTGCACTTACTGTACCTCCCTCTACTGTAATGTAACCTGTAAAGTGCTAAGTACACCTGTTAGCGATATATAAATATAATATACATACACTGTTTACCTACTGCACTTACTGTACCTCCCTCTACTGTAATGTAACCTGTAAAGTGCTGAGTACACCTGTTAGTGCTATATAAATAAAATATACATACACTGTATACCTACTGCACTTACTGTACCTCCATCTACTGTAATGTAACCTGTAAAGTGCTGAGTACAACTGTTAGCGCTATATAAATATAAAATATACATACACTGTATACCTACTGCACTTACTGTACCTCCATCTACTGTAATGTAACCTGTAAAGTGCTGAGTACAACTGTTAGTGCTATATAAATATAATACACATACACTGCATACCTACTGCACTTACTGTACCTCCCTCTACTGTAATGTAACCTGTAAAGTGCTGAGTACAACTGTTAGCGCTATATAAATATAATATACATACACTGTATACCTACTGCACTTACTGTACCTCCCTCTACTGTAATGTAACCTGTAAAGTGCTGAGTACACCTGTTAACGCTATATAAATAAAATATACATACACTGTATACCTACTGCACTTACTGTACCTCCCTCTACTGTAATGCAACCTGTAAAGTGCTGAGTACACCTGTTAGTGCTATATAAATATAATATACATACACTGTATACCTACTGCACTTACTGTACCTCCCTCTACTGTAATGTAACCTGTAAAGTGCTGAGTACACCTGTTAGCGCTATATAAATATAATATACATACACTGTATACCTACTGCACTTACTGTACCCCCCTCTAATGTCACCTGTAAAGTGCTGAGTACACCTGTTAGCTCTATATAAATATAATATACATACATTGTATACCTACTGCACTTACTGTACTCCCTCTACTGTAATGTAACCTGTAAAGTGCTGAGTACACCTGTTAGTGCTATATAAATAAAATATACATACACTGTATACCTACTGCACTTACTGTACCTCCCTCTACTGTAATGTAACCTGTAAGGTGCTGAGTACACCTGTTAGTGCTATATAAATAAAATATACATACACTGTATACCTACTGCACTTACTGTACCTCCCTCTACTGTAATGTAACCTGTAAAGTGCTGAGTACACCTGTTAGTGCTATATAAATATAATATACATACACTGTATACCTACTGCACTTACTGTACCCCCCTCTACTGTAATGTCACCTGTAAAGTGCTGAGTACACCTGTTAGCGCTATATAAATATAATATACATACACTGTATACCTACTGCACTTACTGTACCCCCCTCTACTGTAATGTCACCTGTAAAGTGCTGAGTACACCTGTTAGCGCTATATAAATATAATATACATACACTGTATACCTACTGCACTTACTGTACCTCCCTCTACTGTAATGTAACCTGTAAAGTGCTGAGTACACCTGTTAGCGCACGACCTATAATTAGTTATTCTCCAGATATTTATCAATACCAACTTTTTAAAAATGCTACAACACAATTTAGCAGCTCAATTAAGCAAAGAGGGCTGAACACAACCCAAAAAGAAGACAAGTAACTGTCTTCACGCACATAGAGAAATTGAAGGAATCTCTGAATCTGGATGACCTGGTACTGTACAATATGCCAATTTCAAGTCTATCTTGAACTTCCAATTTGATCTTTTCGTAAATTATGCGTACGCTAATGAATTTCTTCCTGTTTTAAATCATAGTATTTGCTCCATTTGTTGCAATGGACCTAAAACGATATTATAGTCACCAAAACAACTTTAGCTTAATGAAGCAGTTTGGATATACAAATCATGCCTATGAAGTCTCAATTTAAATGTTTTTATCTCCTGCTCATGCAGGGCATAGATGGTTATTAATAGAGCAGGAGATACATTTTGAATTAAACAGGATTTGCAATAAAGGAAGTGTAAACATTAGATCTTACTTTACAGGAAGTGTTTAGGAAGGCTGTGTAAGCAACATGCAGGGAGGTGTTACTAGGGCTGTATAAATAAACTGATTTAACTCCTAAATGGCAGAGAATTCAGCAGTGAGATTGCAGGGGTATGATCTATACACCAAAACTGCTTCATTAAGCTAAAGTTGTTTTGGTGACTATGCTGTCCCTTTAATGTATGTATCATTACTTCATATTCTTTGCTGCTCGGATGAACTAAAGAAAGTTAAAAGCACAATGTGACAGTAGTAATCTGTATCACCGTCCAGTATTTCCCTTTCCCAATAGTAAAATAACTCCAATAATCCACAGGAACAAATATCGCTGGTATCGCAAAATAATCCACACATGAGCCAAAGCTTAATGCTTGAACAAGACTGATTTAATGGAAGCAACAGGCATTCCATTTATACAGTACAAGCTCCTCCACTGGGCCAGGCTAGATAATTGAGTTTCAGTAACATACTAAACTCAATTATCTGCTGGCCAGAAAAATTACTCTTTTTCACAATTTTTAAAATGATACTTTATACATAACATTTCACGAAAATCCATTTGGTCGTTTTCGTGTCGCATTCAGAGTTCCACGGAATTGGTAGTAAGAGCCGGTCTCCGTTCGGATAAAATTACATGAAAACTACTATAGCTGGCATGCATATGGTTCCTGGAGAATGCTCCCCTCGTTTAGTTGTTTGGAACTCCCGAACGCCGTTCTTGTGCTGTGAGTGGAAATAGGTCAGACGGGACTTCCATGGGGACCAGGTGTTCATGTGAGTGCCATGACGAAAACAGTTCCAGGCACACAATGACCAAGTCTCGCTGGCCGCGTTCGGGAGTTTAAGATGGCAGCCATCCATTGTTCTCACCACGTGCGTTCGCATGCACATAATGGCGGCCACCCAGGAGCATTCGATTACTTTACGGTTTTGTGTGGTTACATAGTGTTCCAAGTTCTAATTGCTACCCAGGGTGGTCCTTGTTCGGTAAAACGAACAATTTACCGACTGAACAAATAAAACGAATGCTTTCCAAGCAGGGAGAGAAAATAGCCGAATGGATATGGGTGAATACAGGGGAATCCTTCACACCCAATATTCACCTTTTGTCTAATTAACAATTTTTTTAATAGTTAAATGTGTAGCTGTTCTTGATTTTACCACCCATCGAAGTGTGACATTGATTGTAATGTTTGGTCCCTATACAGGTTCAGGTATTCCAGAGTTGAAGGTGATTCTGCGGGGAGTTGTGTTAAAGGAATATTTGACTTTGAAAGCGTTTGTGGCAAAAGTCATTGGACTGACTGCATCGCTGGGCAGTGGGATTCCACTGGGCAAAGAGGTGAGCTGTGGATCTTCACTCATCAATAAATGTAAAAAGTGTTGATAGTGCTTGAAGTGACCAAATAATAACATTTAGAGTGTATGAAAGAAACACATTTATTCAGGGTTTAAATAGTATCACTTTATTCCTGTTGCAATGTATCACTATGATTATTTTACAACATACACTGACAGGGTTATATGTACATTGTCAGCATTTTATATTGGCATCACAGCAGTATCGAAGTAAAAAATTAATTCTCTTAATTTGATTAAATAGTGGATGTTAACATTGCGCGGTGAGTTTTGTAATGTGTTGTATCATATTGTGTGATGGTGCTCCTCTACTCTGACCAAGTACCTGCTCCAAATCTGCTTCCTAGCCATTGGGGAAGGAGTGTTCTCGTTTTCACCAATCAGCCCAGGTGCTACATGAGTTCTCCGCAGGCGTGTTTTCAATTACTTTCGCCAGTCGGTTTAATTCAATTTGATCAAGTGAAAAGGGGAAACTGCTCATGTCAAAATACCCGACAACTACCAACGATATTTCTTTCAACATCTTGTGTAAATACGTGCGCAGTACGTCTTCCATAGAAAGCTATGTGGGGACTGGCTTAGATGGAGATCACATTCACTTTCTGATTAAAGGGGCCATAGGTAGGACAGAGAGAAACTTCCATTTGCCATATAACAGTGTATATGGTGATTTATTAAAAAGCAAATCAATGCTCACGTTTTCTGCTTTTATTTTTAAAAGCACACTACAAACCCCAATAGCACTTCATCTTGCAGGTTAACAGAGTGTCCTCTCTCTTACGTTAATAAATGCCTGATTTAGAGAGAAATGGGCTGTTTTACAGATTGTCTCCCTTGTACACTGTGTAATCTAAACGCACTTTCAACATTCCAGCATTAAAAATGAAAGTATTTTTTTTTATGACTCTGGACTGTTTCTACAAAGCTTTACCTAGTAGGTCAGTTAATGTTTTGACAATATATTGTGTCTGTGATTCTGATCTCTGACCTCAGTATCAGTGTCATAAAGCAAGACCAAGCGATAGTTTTAGCAGTGAGACTGCAGTCAAAGCTCATTTAATAATTTTAATAAGGAAATGTAGGATTATAATGTACATATAATATTTATAAAAGCAATGCTTCTTACAGCCTCAAACCGCCTACTCACACCTTTTACATACCAATACAAACTTTGACATTCTATAATTAGCACTTGTTTTAAACCCCTGATAAATAATCTCAGATGTACTTTCACAGTAACATTCATCACCACCAAAATATTTGTATCGCTGTCCTTAACGCTGTAAAACGCACACTCAGTCCAGGCCAGTAAAACGTAACTGAAGGACTTTTCACATATTAATGACACTAGATCTAATCCGTGTCTGTCACAGGATCAGGAGATCCTAAAATAACATGAGCTTGGTGTAACGAGGAGTCCCTGTAAACAGATCTGTAGGGGGCTCCTCATCTATTTAAACCTTTAGTGTAACAATGTCATATTTACAATGTAAGGGTGTACCTAGACCAAATAGAAAAGATTCCTCAAACCCTTGTAAAAAGGGCCTTAGAAACTCTCTTAAAGGAACACTATAGCGTCAGGAACACAAACACTTTAATGGTAAATAATTAGTTACGTCCCGGCCCCCTCTCTTCATAGTAAAAATTAGATTTTACTCACCTTTCCTCACGCTCTGCGCCGGTCTCATCATAGCTGGCCCCGCCTCGCTCCACTTCCCTGGCTGAGATGATGAAACTTGATGATCTCAGCAATTTCAATGTTTTGCCATAGGATATATACTATACATCAAGCTCTATACTATACATTAAGCTCTATACTATACATTAAGCTCTATTCTATACATCAAGCTCTATACTATACATCAAGCTCTATACTATACATCATGCCCTATACTATACATTAAGCTCTATACTATACGTTAAGCTCTATACTATACATCAAGCTCTATACTATACATTAAGCTCTATTCTATACATTAAGCTCTATTCTATACATCAAGCTCTATACTATACATCATGCCCTATACTATACATCAAGCTCTATTCTATACATCAAGCTGTATACTATACATCAAGCGCTATACTATACATCGAGCGCTATACTATACATCAAGCTCTATACTATACATTAAGCTGTATACTATACGTTAAGCTCTATACTATACATTAAGCTCTATACTATACGTTAAGCTCTATTCTATACATCAAGCTCTATACTATACGTTAAGCTCTATACTATCAAGCTCTATACTATACATCAAGCTGTATGCTATACATTAAGCTCTATACTATACATCAAGCTCTATACTATACATTAAGCTCTATTCTATACATCAAGCTCTATACTATACATCAAGCTGTATGCTATACATTAAGCTGTATACTATACGTTAAGCTCTATTCTATACATCAAGCTCTATACTATACATCAAGCTGTATGCTATACATTAAGCTCTATACTATACATCAAGCTCTATACTATACATCAAGCGCTATACTATACATTAAGCTCTATACTATACATTAAGCTCTATTCTATACATCAAGCTCTATACTATACGTTAAGCTCTATACTATCAAGCTCTATACTATACATCAAGCTCTATACTATACATTAAGCTCTATTCTATACATCAAGCTCTATACTATACATTAAGCTCTATACTATACATCAAGTTCTATACTATACGTTAAGCTCTATACTATACGTTAAGCTCTATACTATACATCAAACTCTATACTATACATTAAGCTCTATTCTATACATTAAGCTCTATACTATACATCAAGCTGTATGCTATACATTAAGCTCTATACTATGCATCAAGCTGTATGCTATACATTAAGCTCTATACTATACATTAAGCTCTATACTATACATCAAGCTCTATTCTATACATCAAGCTGTATACTATACATTAAGCTCTATACTATACATTAAGCTCTATACTATACGTTAAGCTCTATTCTATACATCAAGCTCTATACTATACATCAAGCTCTATACTATACATTAAGCTCTATTCTATACATCAAGCTCTATACTATACGTTAAGCTCTATACTATCAAGCTCTATACTATACATCAAGCTCTATACTATACGTTAAGCTCTATACTATACGTTAAGGTCTATACTATACATCAAGCTCTATACTATACATTAAGCTCTATACTATACATTAAGCTCTATACTTAACATTAAGCTTTATACTATACAGCAAGCTGTATACTCTCCAATTATCAGCCTGGCCAGTTCCTGACATTAATTATACAAACCAAATTAATCCCTTTCAATATTTTATTTTCACTTTTTGCCAAAATGTGCTGTAATATTAAATTATTTCAAAGACAAACAATACATTGTATTTGTTTCCATTCCAAGTTTATTGATATTGTAAGAAAGCAAAGTATCTCACTATTCTCCTTGAAGGTGGCTTTAATTTACCATTAGGACAGACGCTCCTCGAGCCTGGAGGAGTGATAATCCCAATTTACAAGAATCACTAAAAAAATAATTTGTTTCCCAGTACTTTACCCCCTGAAAAGATTGCAATAATAACCTTACAATAATTAATCCCTCAGACAGCACAGTAAAATAAGCAGGACCTTCTCCCCCTCTTCTCTCTATCTGTATTGTCTATCTATGACATCAGATCCCCATTCTATAATCGTACAGCGCTGCGGGAATATGTCATTAATAGTAATATATTCACTAAATGTAAATCTGTTCATGTAAAAATATGTAGGCTGGACATATAAGCTGAATATATAGCTATGTATGTGGGTCTGTAATTGTTGGTATAACTGTAGAGCGTCCCTTTAAATACTGATACAAAAGGAGAAGAACTCCTTGCCTGTTCTTTGATCTAATATCTGTAGCACTTTTATACAAATATATTTATCCACCTGCCTGTCTTCTTCCTCTCTCTGTCTGTCTGCCTGTCTGTCTGTTTGCGTGCCAGAATTGACAGCATTTTACTTTTTTATATCTCCCTTCCCAGGGCCCATTTGTGCACATTGCCAGTATTTGTGCTGTAGTCCTCAGCAAGTTCATGTCTGTTTTCTGTGGCGTTTACCAGGTAAGGAGCTTGTCTGTCTGTGTTTGTTACTTTGTGACTGGTCGTGCTTGTTGACTCGTTGTCTCCCGTGGCCCTGCTACCGTGTCTGCTGGATATATTGTCAATATAGGATGGAATAGGATTGGCTCAGGCTGCTGCTTCATGTCTGACCTCCTGGGAGGGAAATATAATAAATACAATATGGGATGCACAGTGCCACGTTGTATATAGTAAAACAATCACACAGGGTTATTCACAAAGTGAGAATTGCCGGGAGTTCAACGTAACTGAACTATAACCTGAGCCGACTCATACAATGTTTCCAGCTCTGCAATTTTAGCCTTAATTTCACTTTAATTTTCTGACAATTCTTACTTTAGTCAATATCTCTGGCAATGTACAAGATCCATTACCTATAGCATTTTTAATATTATGACAAGCCCCATCCAAATAGATATGGCATGTGATGTGCGCAGTGGAGGGTGTGAGGTGGTAGTGGAGGGTGTGAGATTGGTAAGGAAGGTGTGAGAAAGGTTGAGGTGGGTAGGGGAGGGTGTGAGTTGGTAGGGGAGAGTGTGAGACTGTTAAAGAGGGTGTGAGAAGGCATGAGGTGGGTAGGGGAGGGTGTGAGATTGGTAAAAAGGGTTTGAGGTTGTAGGGGAGGGTGTGAAATTGTTAGGGAGGTAGTAAAGGAGGTGTGAGGTAGTAAAGGAGGGTGTGATGTGGGTAGGGTAGGGTGTGAGGTCTGCAGGGGAGGGTGCGAGGTGGTAGGTAGCGTGTGAAGTGGGAAGGGTAGGATATGAGACTGGCAGGGGAGGGTGTGAGGTGGTAGGTAGCGTGTGAAGTGGGAAGGGTAGGATATGAGACTGGCAGGGGAGGGTGTGAGGTGGTAGGGAGGGTGTGAGGTCGTAGCGGAGGTTGTGAGGGTGTGAAGTGGGAAGGGGAGGGAATGAGATACACATAAATGCAATAATTGTAAATAAAATTATAGCTTCCATATACATTTGCGTTTACTTTAAGGATAAAACTGGAAGTAGGGTATGACTGTGTGCAGGTACCTCATTCATTGACATTCACAGAGATGGAGCTGGCGCAATCTACGTAGATTCTGGATGGATTTCGAGATAACTGCCCCATTTCCCACCGCTAGGCACCAGGGAGCTCAGGCTGTTATTCATTATTCATACAGAATGTATTTACAGATTTTAAAGCTTTTAGTGTATTCAAGTTTTTTAAGAATTTTTTTTCATAGCCAAATCCTTTTAATATTTATTAATTTCATAGTTACTTCTGCATGTTTCCATTCCAGGCTTTTTTTTGTTTTATCTTCATAGTGTGAATGACAGTGATGGGAGAAGATGGCACTGCGTGTAGTTTCCAAATCTGTTTGTCCCTTTGAGTTATTCACTAAAATTCAAATGTTTTAATGTCCTAATCAGGGAGGTTTGGAATCTTCCTATGCCCCATAGTGCCATGTGTCAGGTGCGGGCATATTGGCTAAGTTTACAACAAAAGAAAAGAAAGGCTGCGCCAAAAGGAATAATAAATAATAAAAAATACACAACTAATAAAAAATATAAAATAATATATATTAAAAATATTAATGTATAAAAAACAGTCCCAATTAATATCAGAGATTGTATTGTCTTAGTCGCTGTTTCAGCTGGTAGAGTATCTTCTCTGTTTGTAGTAGCTCGTCTTGTGATATAAAAGACACAAGGAGAAAGGACCAATCGTGCGGAGTGTATAAGATGAGTATTAATAAATTAAAATATAAATATTACACTCACATTTGAATGGGCTATGGCCAGCTCAGGTGTAACAGGCATACAGCGGATTAATCCCCGCTTGTAGGATGTATGGATACTTGTCCTCCGAAGGGAATGGTGTCCAATTCTCAGGGAAAGAGAAATAAAAACAACCAATAGTGCTCTCTGTAGAAGTAGGATAAAATAAAATAAAATATACTCACAAGTGGAGTGCAGGGCTAACTGCACTCTGATGATAGCGTTGGTGGTATAATCCCCACCTCAGGATAAGTTAAATGCCAGGAAAAGGTAATAAAAAATAAAATAAAATTGTGTAAAAGAATAATAGCACAAAATTATTTATTTTATAAAATATACAATATATTTATTATATTTTATTATATTGTATATTTTATAAAATAAATAATTTTGTGCTATTATTCTTTTGATAATATTGATACCTTAGAGAGGGTTCAGAGAAGGGCTACTAAACTGGTTCATGGATTGCGGGATAAAACTTACCAGGAAAGGTTAAAGGATCTTAACATGTATAGTTTGGAGGAAAGACGAGACAGGGGGGATATGATAAAAACATTTAAATACATGAAGGGAATCAACACAGTAAAGGAGGAGACTATATTTAAAATAGGGGCACTATGCACTATGTACAGCCAAAAATAATTGCACCAGCCCTGTGTGTATCTGTATATGTGTCAGCATATATATCTGTGTGTCTGCATGTGTGTCATTGTGTTTATCTGTGTTTCTGTGTATCTGTGTGTGTGTTAATATTTGTATCTGTGCGTTTGCATGTGTGTTATCGTGTTTACCGATATGTCTGTGTATCTGTATGTGTGTTAATATTTGTATTTGTGTGTTTGCATGTGTGCCGTTGTATTTATATGTGTGTCTGTGTATCTGTGTGTTTGTTAATATTTGTATCTGTGTGTCTGCATGAGTGTCATTGTGTGTACACGTGTGTCTGTGTATTTGTATGTGTGTTAGTATTTATACCTGTATATCTGCATGTGTGTCAGTGTGTGTATATGTGTGACTGTGTATCTGTATGTGTGTCAGTATTTGTATCTGTATATCTGCATGTGTGTATTTGTGTGTCTCTGTATCTGTATGTGTGTCAATATTTGTATCTGGGTGTCTGAATGTGTGTGTCTTTGTATCTGCTTGTGTGTCAGTGTTTGAATCTGTGTGTGTGTGAATATTTATATCTGTATATATGCATGTGTACGATTGTGTGTAACTGTGTGTCTGTGTATCTGTAGGTGTGTCAGTATTTGTATCTGTGTCTGCATGTGTGTCATTGTGTGTAACTGTGTGCCTGTGTATCTGTATGTGTGTCAGTGTTTGTATCTGTGTGTCTGTGTATCTGTATGTGTGTCAGTGTTTGTATCTGTGTGTCTGTGTATCTGTATGTGTGTCAGTGTTTGTATCTGTGTGTCTGTGTATCTGTATGTGTGTCATTGTGTGTATCTGTGTGCCTGTGTATCTGTATGTGTGTCAGTGTTTGTATCTGTGTGTCTGTGTATCTGTATGTGTGTCATTGTGTGTATCTGTGTGCCTGTGTATCTGTATGTGTGTCATTGTGTGTATCTGTGTGTCTGTGTATCTGTAGGTGTGTCAGTGTTTGTATCTGTATGTTTGTGCATCTGTTTGCCTGCCAGTGTCACTAGATTTGTTTTCAGTGAACCAGAGCTTAGTGACAGGTACTAATGAGGTAGTTCTCGAAAGGATGTAGGATTCAGCATATTGTGCAATGTGCGTGGCTATATATAGCTCTGTTAAAACTAAGCAGTGCCGTTAGTTATTTCAAATCCCCATATTGCTGACTGTAGTCCAGCTGGGTGCAGCTGGCACTGACGAAGAACTTGGGGAAAATAAATCTCATTAAGTATTATATGTTTTTTTGTATCAACCCGCTGACTGCATTGTTAGAGAGAAAAAGCAAAAAAAGTTGTCTCTGCGGAACACATCATGCAATATGTGTTCAATGAAGTTAATACTAACCAACGTTATTAATATTTGCAATATTACTAAGTCATAACAGGGAGGAAAAGGCCACGAGCACTAAAAGCACTTTCAGACCGTTTTGGTACTTTTGGCTTTTCTTGCTTGTAATGTATTGTATATTGTATGCAGTATGAATACTAATATAGCTTGTTTGTGTTAACTTCACTGGGAACTTTTTTTTTTTCTTTGCATTTACTTGGAGGGGGTCTTACCATTGATTTTCAAAGAGGCAAAATTATTATTTTGTTCATGTAAATCAAACCCTCTTTTTATACCTGAAAGCACGTTGATTCTGGATGGCGGCTGTGTTTGGAATGAGGAAAAGGGAAGCTTTATTGATTCTAGGTAACGGATTGTGGATGATGAAGATATCCTATATGTTTTATTACTGCCGTATCCATTTTCTTCTCTTGGTAATCTGTTGGTTTGTGTCTAAATAATAAAGAATTGTGAGATTTGGGCTTTGGTGTTGATAAGATAGCTCAGTGGATAGTCCTCCACCTGCAGTAGTATCTCTGAGTCTCATATTTAGCCTTTGCCAAGATTGATAAAATGAGTAAGTTGGGTAATAACTAGACATGTGCAATTCGTTTCGGTCCAAATATGAATTCAGACGAATTTCGGACAATTCGGACATTCGGGTACTTCCGAATGTCCGAATTGCAGAAGTGCCGAATTGCCGAGGTCCCGAAGTTCCGAAATTACCGAATTTCCGAAGTGCCGAAGCACAGTATTGCCTAAGTACTAATATACTTACCCAGTGGAAGAAGAAGAATGTTACACTGTATACAATTTTAAATAAAAAGTATACAAACATAGCCAGGATTCAGCTGTAAGCATTTGCAACACTTACAACAATCAAGTAACATACATTCATATAAAATGTAAATTACTTAGCCAGTCAATGTAATGACAGGAATGAATAAGTAGATAACTCCCTGACTCCCACGGTATTAGGGAGTTATCTACTAAAAGGCTGAAAGACCTAAATTGGTCTTTCAGCCAAATTTACTAATGCTAAGTAAAGATAGTGAGCAGCCTGTTTAAAAAAAAAGGGTACCCCCTCCTGACTAAAGTGGGGGACCTATTGCCCCCCCGGCCCCCACCCCTGAGCAGCGGGTGGGGGCCCTAAAGTAATGTGATTGGGGTCCTATTGTCCTCCCCCCTGGCCCCCACTCCTGAGCTGCAGGTGGGGGCCCTAAATTGGAATAAGGTGGAGGACCTAATGTCCTCCACCCTGTCCCCACCCCTGCCCTTCAGGGGTGGGGGCCCTAGACAAGAATAAGGGGGGGACCTAATGTTCTCCCCCATGGCCCCCACCCCTGAGCGGTGGGTGGGGGCCCTAAACTAGAATAAGGGGGGGGACCTTATGTCCTCCCCCCTGGCCCCCACCCCTGAGCGGTGGGTGGGGGCCCTAAACTAGAATAAGGGGGGGGGACCTTATGTCCTCCCCCCTGACCCCACCCCTGAGCGGTGGGTGGTGGCCTTAAATGCTAATAAGGGGGGGACCTAAGATCCTCCTCACTGGCCCCCACCCCTGAACGGGGAGTGGGGGCCCTAAATACTAATAAAGGGGGGGGACCTATTGTCCTCCCCCCCAGCCCCCACCCCTGAGCGGCGGGTGGGGGCCCTAAAAAAAATGCCTCCCCCCCTAGGTGATTAGGGGTCCCCAAACCCCTAGTCACCCCCTCCCCCCCAAAGAAAAATTATCCCCCTACCTACCCTCCTCACCATAAAAATAATGAGGGGGGGACATTTAACTAAGTACCTGTAAAAAAAATAAAACTTACCATTCAATGTTTTCTTTCTTCTAAAATCTTCTTTTTTCAGCCCCAAAAAAGGCCAAATAAAAAACCATAATAACCGACTCAATTATAAAAAACAAACAAAAAAAAAAACGAGTGCAAAACAAAATAATCCATCTTCACCCGGCGAGGGCTCCGCGCAGACTGAGCTCTGCAGGGCGGGGGAAGGCTTATAAAGCCTTGCCCTGCCCTGCAATTAGGCTCAGAGAACTCTGATTGGTGGGTTTAAGTCATCCAATCAGAGTGCTCTGACAGGTAAATGAAGATACTGACAGGTAAGTCTCTACATTTACCTGTCACAGCACTCTGATTGGTTGGTTTGAAATCCACCAATCAGAGTGCTCTGTGTCATTTTACACAGCGTGGGAAAGTTCTTTGGAATTTTCCCACGCTGTGTAATTTGACTCATAACACTGGCCCCCAGCTCAGGGGTGGGGGCCAGGGGGGAGGACAATAGGTCCCCCCCATCGTATTACTTTAGGGCCCCCACCACCGCTCAGGGGTGGGGGCTGGGGGGGGGGCAATAGGTCCCTATTTTTTTAAAAAAAAATTTTAAACAGTGAGCAGCCATAGGCTGCTCACTGTTTAATAGACATGCCCCTACTCGCGGTATAGCGAGTAGGGGCATAATTTACTAATACTAGGTAATCTTTACTTAGTATTAGTAAATTTGGCTGAAAGACCAATTTAGGTCTTTCAGCCTTTTAGTAGATAGCTCCCTGATACCGTGGAAATTAGGGAGTTATCTACTAAGCGGCTGCAATAGAAGTCCCGAGGTGCCGAAGTCCCGAAATTCCAAAGGTCCGAAGTGTCGAAGTTGCTGAATTTCCAAAATTCCAAAGATGCCGAAGTTCCGAAGTCTTGAAGTGCCGAATTGCCGAAGTCCCGAATTTCGGAATGCCGAACCGAAAGTTTTCCCCATGCACATGCCTAGTAATAACATCTTGACCGCTAGATGTTTTTGGAAAATGAGTGAAGCTAAGTGTGCCACTCCTGAATATTAGTATTAAGTGAATCTTGGAACAGTGGCTGAATGACTACGGAGAGGACATTGTGTTTGTTTTCTCAGAGAAAGTACTTTTGTCTCCCTGATAAATTATAGTCAATTACTGAGCAAAACAAGATGCTATAATAATGTTTAATAATCTCTCCTTAGACATGATTGGCCAGCTCCATAGTTTGTGAATTCCTGAGGGAAATACACAATAGTGTGGGGTTAAACTATACATGTTTAATTTAAAACCACAATATACTCGACAGCTGGTGGTACCTGCTCAGGAGACGCATTCTAGGATTAAAAGAAAAATGCAGAATATGAGCAGAAGCAGATTATTACACGTTCACATCAATGTTCAAACTTAATATAAGGATCTCTCAAGGGAAACGAGAAGCTCCAGATTGAGAAAAGACTACGATTTAAAAGGGATAATCTAGAGATTTTGATGGCAAGGGTAAATAAAATGAGAAATGTAATGCCATTTTGGAGGAAAGACTATATCTGTTGGATTTTGTTTCCTAGGGGAGGTTGAACTTGTCAAATTTGCAATTTTTTCACATCAGCATCAGTATACAAATAGAATATGAAGTTAAAGGAGAAATAAAACGTCCCTGGCAAGTGTCTTCACGTGTAGCCAACGTGTAGAGAGTTATGGGATGTCAACTCCCACAATCCTCAGCTAGAGTGGAAAATGTAGCTTGTGGCTGCAATACTATCTTCTTTGGTGGATTACAAACCTCATAACACTCAGCCAAGGAGGGAGTATTGATAGAGAGTGCCCCAATCAGATGTTATTGTTACATATTGTTACATTGTACATTTTATTGGAAAGGAATTGCTAATGACTGTGACATTGTGTAATCTCTCCATGAATGTCCCATACATACAAACCCATACATTGTATATAGGACCCTCTCCGGAGCCTGGATCTGTTGGCAGCTGGCTGCGCTGTGGGGGTTGGATGCTGCTTTGCTGCACCCCTTGGAGGCAAGTGCCGTGACTCTTAACCCTGTGTGCACCACCTGGAGATATTCTTTCACTCACCTTACTAACTGATGGCCTTCCAGCCAGGTTCACGGAGCTTCTCGGTCTTGGTGGCAGTTCTGGGATCTACATGGCAAGTGGGAGACCTTCACATGTAGCTAGTGAGAGACATTCAGGGATCTATGTGGCTAGTGAGAGACCTTCATACATGGCTAGTGACAGAGCTTCATGGAGCTAGTGAGAGAGGTTCATGGAGCTATGTGGCTAGTGAGATTGATTCACGGATCTATGTGACTGGTGAGAGACTTTCATACGTGGCTAGTGAGAAAGCGTCATATGTGACTAAGTGAGAGATCTTCATACATGGCTAGTGACAGAGCTTCATGGAGCTATGTGGCTAGTGAGAGAGGTTCATGGAGTTATGTAGCTAGTGAGAGAGTATCATACGAGTCTAATGAAAGAGCTTGATACGTGGCTAGTGAGAAAGCTTCATGAAGCTATATGGCTAGTGAGAGAACTTCATGGAGCAACGTGGCTAGTTATCAGAGCTACGTGGCTAGTGAGAGAGGTTCAGGAATCTGCATGGCTAGTGAGAGAGCTTCATGGAGCTACATGGCTAGTGAGAGATTTCTGAGGAGGGAGCATTTATGGTAGCTATGTGGCTAGTGAGAGAGCTTCATGGAGCTACATGGCTAGTGAGAGAGATTCGAGGAGATATGTAGCTAGTTAGAGAGATTCAGGGATCTATGTGGCTAATGAGAGGGGTTCAAGGAGTTATGTGGCTAGTAAGAGATTTCTGAGTAGGGAGAGACTATGGGAGCTATTTGACTAGTGAGAGAGGTTCAAGGAGTTGCATGGCTAGTGAGCGAAGTTATGCCAGTTGCATGGTTAGTGAGAGAGGTTCAGGGAGCTACCTGGCTAGTGAGAGATTTCTGAGGAGGGAGAGGTTATGGGAACTATACTTGTGGGGAGGTGGTGAGAGAGTTTAAAAGAACGTTTAGGACAGAGAGAATCATGGATCACCATGTGATGAGTTCAGAAAGTATGACTGGAGGTACATGGAGCTACTCTGAAGGAAAGAGGTTCCAAAAGAGGGTGGGGATCTTGCAGCTACAGTGTGTAAAGGGAAAATTCAGCAGAATATTCCCATAGCCCGTCTTCCCTGCTCCTGGCCCGAAGGATCTCTCTGCCTTGTGATCTGTATCCAGGCTCTCCCTTTACTATATATGTATATATGTGGGTGTCTCTTCTCCGTTCTTTGATCATTGCTAGCTTTCTCCATCTTCTACTAACGGTCTCAATCTTTGCTCCACTTGTCCACTTCCGCAATTCAGAGTCGTTATGGGAAAGAGGTTTAATCTGAGAGCTGTCCATACGACCCTCTTTCATGGTCTTTGATTTGATATTGTTTGCACTGCTTTGTTGCTTGTGTTGTGCTTAAGTGGGCTCCCCATAAGGAATTGTTTCCTGATATCTGGGAAACCCTCATACACAGAGGCTGGAGATGTCTGCCAAGTGAGGTGCAAGGTAAGTACTGATTAGACTTCAACTGGCGCATAACTCAAACTCACCCTAAAAGAGCAGAATCCCTCTCTCTGTCTCTTACACCTGTCCTTTGCACCCCATGCAATGGAGTTCGTGCAAGAATTAGTTAGTACCAGGTTTGGCCCTGGGTTATATTTTTCACAAACCTTTTCTGCAATGCTAAGCCTTAACTATGGAGCACACTTAGCTGATTTCTGTCACTCTGTGTGAGGATTTCAGAGATCAGGAAAACAATCTTCATGGGGAACCAACCATGAGCACAATGCCCGTTCCATCATCTCTTTTTGAGGACACTGATGCATGGCGATTCTCTCTCCTGCTTGGCTTCATTTTCCTGTACCATTAAAGATCTTCCCATCTTCCAACCTCCTCCCTGGTCTTCTCATACTCCTCATCTTCCTTTACTGAGGTCTTTTATTTTCCTTCTGATTCTCTAAATTACTTATATGTCTTCTCTCCATCTCAATATCTTCAATTTATCCTCCCCTTTCTGGCTGGCTGTTCCTCTGCTAATCCAATGTGGTCTCTGGTTCCGGTGGTGGTCCTGCTTTCTCCTGCCTATCCTGGGGTCTCCACCTTCTCTCAGTAGCAGGCGTATTATTACGCTGACGTTCTCACAGTGGGATGTGCAGTTGGTGTTGGATGTTGCTTTGGAACCCCTCTGGGAGGCAAGTGTAACAATCGAAAACTAAAACTCATAGGATAGACCTCACCTATTATTGCAAAGGGCGACATTATGAATTACAAAACAAGGCTACAATATATCATCACACACTTCTGGGAAGCACACCAGACAAAGCACAAACACATTCAGCTTCTCTGATAGAGCTGAACACATGCATCAACACACAAATACATGCTTTAGAAGGAAACACTGATAATAGACATACAGGGTTATTTACTGAAGTGAGAATCTTCAGGCCTAAGAAACCTGACTTGGAGATTCTTTTAAGGTTGGCTACATAGGCCTTAGATTTAAAATTTCCTCTTAATTCCAGAAAATTCCCATTTAGTGAATAACCCAGATAGTCTCCTGGTTTTGTCGTTGTGTAACTCACAGGGGATTTGTGTCATTGTGTGGTTGTCTAGGTGTCCTGTTCAGCATTGAGGTTACATCATCCTATTTTGCTGTGAGGAACTATTGGCGAGGATTCTTTGCAGCCACGTTCAGCGCATTCATCTTCCGTGTCCTCGCAGTGTGGAATAAGGATGCAGGTTGGTGGCCATTCATAGCTGTGTCTCCACAATTCTTCTAACACAATGTTCTAATTTGGCAGTGCCACTTCTATCTTTAGATCAGGTGCAACAATATAATTTTGTGTCCAATGAAAACACAGTTGTGTTGCCCAATGGTCATGTTGAAAGTGAAGTACGAGAAGAGGACAAAGATAAAGCTTTTTGTTGGTAAAGATCAAATGAAGAACACAGAAATAATCTTTAGCAATGAGATATCTAATGATCACACCTATTATACAATGTAACACTCATACCTTCCACCAGAGGGAAACCTTGCACCTGATGCTGGGCTGTAGATGGGTTTGAGATTCGAGTTTCAGAGATTGCTCTATAGCAATTTATATACCTTAATTGAAGAAATATATGATTTAACTGTAATTACTGATTACATGATTACATGCAGACACGTTCATTAAGCTGCACTGCTAGTGATACATTCAAACTACAAATACCTATAAGCAGGTTATTTGACCACTTTTATTTATCTATTTTTTTTCACACCAACATGTGTTTTTACTTTTATATTAATAAGAGACTGTATACTGTCTAAAACTTTAATTCTCCAAAAATCGGCATAAAAATATGAATGAATAAATGAAAAAAATAAAAATTGTGTATGTAAATCAAGACGTGAGAACAAAACAAAGGTGGGGGTCTAGCAGCCCAAGGTAAAGCGGCTGGCAGATACCCACCAACGATGTATTGCTGGTGGGGGTAACCCAATGAAGAATATAAAAAAAGGTGGTTAATAACTCCCCGTTTAGCAATACCTACAGAAATCGATAGTAGTGTAACTTAGTAGTTAGTTAGGGACTGGAAGCTAAATTAACACTGTTATCTGAAAATGGTGGATATCTATCCAATGCCTAAATGTATAAAACAATACACTTAGCTAAGGTAATGCAATACTAAAAGTCACTGTCTCCTTAAAAAAAATTCAGATAAACACATACAAGCATACTATCAGGACATGGAGAACGGGAGGTTTTAGGGTTCATTCAGTCCCGAACTATATACTAAGTTACTCTACACTTCCTGGGGTATTGCTATACAGGGTGTTAGTAACCCGTATTATTATTTGGAGTGTACATCACTTAGTATTGATTTGGGTACTCCGATATAACCTCCGACTTATCCCTTCTTCTCGTTTTTTATACGTACATTATTGTTACAGTGTTACTAGATGTCACAAATGTTTCTATTGTCCTTAGATGTTTAATAAATGTTTTATTATTATCTGTGACTTTTCTCCCTCATTTGGTGCCTAATAGCTGTTAGGCCCAGAATTGCATGTTTCTTGTGCATATTAACATAATCGTAAATTTTAAGTTTGTCGGAACAGCGATATATATATACACACAAAGTTCCTATTTTAGCAAGCGTTTAGATGCCAGCTATGATTTTTATATTCCAAATACATGTTATTATAAGATCTTTTTAAGCAGAAATTACTGGTAGCAAAGGGGTTAAACAGATATATCTGCAAACAGTAACACGGATATATACCAACACAGCTGATGTCCGTGAATCCCGGCATGGAACCGGAGCCATGCTGAGAAATTAACTCTTACAGTGATGGGACATTTCCGGTCAATCTTGCGTGAAATATTTTCCAAGGCGACCAATCACAGTGTTATAACACAAATCAAGGGGAGAGTTTGAAAGCCTCTACTGCCATCACTTTCGGTCAGTCTGGACCCCTCCAGCTATTCATCTGGGGACCTGGATTATAATTATTTTCCTTAATCAGATTTTTATTTTAATCAGTTTTTTATTTTAGTTAGTTATTTTTTTATCTCTTTTAGTCACCATCACGGCGCTTTTCCGCACCAACTTTCGCATGGAGTTTCCCTTTGACCTTCAGGAGTTGCCAGCGTTCGCTGTGATTGGGTACGCAACGTCTCTGATGGGTGGATGGACCAAATGATAGATATTCGGATGGATAGATAGATAGAAAGATAGATAGATGAATAATGATTGACAATTTTCAGAATAAAATAGCTGTTCAGTGAATCAATGTTGATAATTAGCTCGGGAAATGGCTCCCAATCTGAGATGACATAATTTAGAAAGAATCCCATCCTATATCTATATCTCAGATTTATAGAAGAGAAGGACTGTTTACTGATGGTCCAGCAATGTGTCATGTAATGTCTTTCCAAACAGGATTTGCTGTGGATTCCTTGGAGCGTTCTTTGTCTTTCTGAACCGTCACGTGGTCCTGGGAATCCGCAGACACAAGTCTCTGAGCACCTTCCTGAGCCGCTAGTAAGTCTCAACTGCTCCAGGACGTCTCCGTAGACAGTAAGGCCTCTCCAATATTGTAACATTCAGTATTACACATGTCAGACAAAACGCACAATTACACTGCAATTCCTGTGAAATTGCCAAACTAGAGATAATCTCCAATTCCAACACAACATGTTTAGAGGTAAAATCAATGTTTAAAACAGCCGTGGGCATCTATGTACATATCATGTCTCTTCACAGAAATAAAACACAGAATACATTTAACAAGCTGCTATTTGCATCTTTCAAATTTTCATAATTATACTGAAAGTGAGAAAAGTAAAAAGTATACATAGGATGAATTATTATTATTATTAAATTTATTGGAAACACATTTCCTATGGTTGTTATTTTAATCTTGTGTAGAGTTCATGTTCTGAATGGTTGCGTAAATCTCCTTTATTTCCTGTTATCCCTCTCTCCCCGCCTCTCTGACATTTGATGCAAGTCGTCTTATTTATCCAGCGGTGATAACTTTCTCCATCGCGACCCTGACCTTCCCCCCGGGATTTGGGCAGTTCATGGCTGGAGAGGTAAGATATATGTTCATCGGGGGAGGATAGTCTTACTAGGAAACGTTTATTAAGAGTTTGTATCTCCTCAGCTAATGCCGCGCGAAAGTATCACCGTTTTGTTTGATAACAACACTTGGACCAAGCATGTGGGTGACACGTCAGTCCTTGGGCGTTCTGCTGCCTTCATCCACCCAAACGTGAGCGTCTTTGTTACGCTGCCCCTCTTCTTCATCATGAAGGTAAAGATTGAGAAAGAGGATTCTCTGTGAATCAGGTAATGTAACGATGCAATGAAAACATTTCTGACGCTTAAATCATGGAGAACGAGAGAACACTGAAGTAACATGTAACAGGTCTGAGATGTTTCGTGTTCATATTTCACACACCTTGTGAAAACCAACGAGTTGTCTGTCCCACTTACCGCCTGCCACACGTTCTAAGATTTAACTGCATAAAATATGCTTATCTTGATTTAATACCCATATATGATAGATTTTTCCTGTGAGCTTTTTATAATATGGTGTTGTGACGAGACCAATCTCGCCACATTGCATTGGAGAAGCCTGGTTGCTCGCCTGCTGCCTTTGGACTATGGCCCCATGTTAAAAGACATCTTTTTTCCCTGCAGAAAAGACTTATTCGTGCTTTTCTGCTGGGTGTTCGGTAGAGTCAATCTACCGAACAACCGCACGAATGAATAGACCACCTGGGAGCTGGAGTGTGCCGGCAATTAACCTCCCTGAAGCTGCGGTTAACCGCAGCTTAATTGACGAATGCTGGGTGGCCGCCATTCGTATCACGAACACGAGGTCGCGGCCATTTTAAACAGGCGAATGCACACCGGTGTTCGACGCTTAATTCATGGAACTGAAATCGGACACAGTTCGGTAGTTTTGTTTGAATGTGTTATACCCCAGATAGGAATCCCATGGAGCCCATTCGCATGAAACTGACTGTGTAAAGACTTTGGCTCCATGGCGATTAAACTGTATTTGTGTGGTCTGAGCGCCATTCGCTTAAGAATGTGCGCTCAGACCTGAGCTATCTGGGGACATGTTAAATGTATGATTTTAATGTTATGTGTCTTACATAGTGTATTTTAATAGTAATTCATGTTTTAGTATCCCCACGTGCATAATGGCGATTTGCCTTTGTCTTGGGAGATAATTTAATTACTTCTCAATTATCTCCAAGGCAGAGGGGAGGAAGCCAGGATGCATTGTGGGAATACAATGTGACTTTGTGTCCTATTTGTCAACTTGTCTGTCTTTTGTCACAGTCTCCCATTTGGTCCCCTAGGGGAGTGTCCACCAGGTGGGAGACCTGCATAAATACTGGGCAGGTAGCCCTCATTAAACCAGACCACTGCTTGACCCTCAACACGGAGCCTTGTCTCGTCTTTGGGGGGATTTACTGAATGCTGATAGAGACTGATTGCTAGGAGTGTAAGCTGCTTGGAGGCTTTTCCTATTCGTCTGCTAGCAGTGATTCGTATGGTTCCAGTTCGTGTGTTTGGAGTGCTATATATATTGGATGCTGTTCGGGAGTTTGGAGCATTCAATTATTGGCGGTTCGTGTGTTTGGTGTTCTACAATAGCTGTGCCTGCATCTCTGGAAAGGGGGATGATCGCCTAAACGGTTTTTACCCCTTGTGTGCAAAACGGTCCATTACAGGTGTTAAATGGATACAGTTATTTTGAAGGTGTATATAACATAACATTTATATATTTTGAGGAATGGTCCAAACACTATAACTACTTCATAGCGCTGTAGTGCTTATGGAACCAGAAGCCTGATGGTACTGCCTATAGTCTGCCAGTATTGCCTAATGGTGCTGCCTACAGTCTGCAAGCATTGCCTGGTTGTACTGCCTATAGTCTACCAGTGTAGCCTGATGGTACTGCCTACAGTCTGCCAGTGTTGCCTATATTCTGTTAGTGTTTTCTTCAAATGTAACCTTTAGTTTTCAATAGTTGCCAGGTATTATAGCCTATATTCTGCCAATAAAATGTCTTGTGATTCTCTTTCTAGTTTCTGATGTCGGTCATAGCCACCACAATGCCTATTCCTTGCGGTGCATTTATGCCGGTGTTTGTTCTCGGTAAGTGAAAAAAAGTTTGAAAAATGGTACATGTGTAGACAGGTGAAGAACCCTGACATCTGTAGTTTATAAACACACCACCTCTTTATTATCTACAGTCTTTTGCTTAATCCCTGTCCTCACAAAGTCCTAACTCCATCCTTGCTGGGTCTGTTTGTTTCTGGCATGATAATGGTTTGGGGGCACCATGCTTTCTTGTGTCTGTTCATGTCTGGCATGAAAATGGTTTGGGGGCAACATGCTTTCTTGGGTTTTTACGTTTCTGACATGATAGTGTTCCATGGGTGCCATCCTTGCTTAAGTTCTTACATCAAGAATTTTTCAATGTGGGTCGAGAAAAGCAAACACCTGATGTATAATTTGGAAGAAATTTCAATTGTTTTAGCACATTTGGATTTATCATATATGTGTAATTCATTTTTTCAACACAGAAATCATAGATGAAATTTATATATTTTCTAGGTGCTGCCTTCGGAAGGACAGTCGGGGAGTTAATGGCATATCTGTTCCCCAACGGGATTCTGTTTGATGGCATTGTCTACAAGATCTTACCTGGCGGCTATGCTGTGATTGGTAAGTATCTGACTCTGTTATCCATTTAAGTGTTATTCTATCAGCCGTATGTTTCTCAAACTCTATTTAGAAGTGGTTTAATATAGGATCCATGGCTACTTTTACATGTCTGGTCAAGGCAATGTAGCACCAATGCTGCTTTCACAGGTCATGAGGTAACGAGGTTCATTCTAAAAAGATCTCTACAACCATACGCCCTGAACTACAGATCTCATAAATATTACCATGGCAGGGGTTTATTTAATATCTTCTTTAAAAAGTTTTGGGAGTACCAGGGAGTGTTTATGATTTAATGTTTTAATACTATGAATAAATGTTTGCGTTTTGTAACGTATTAAATTGTCATCAATGCCATCCTCAATATTGAGTGTTCCTGTAATTTCTTTGTAGCTGAAAACATCCATTTTGGTGAAAAAGTGACATGCTTGTTGTTGCCTATAATATACTATTCATATGAGTCTTTTTAATACAGTTTCTATTATTGTCTTAAATATCTTACATGATTTCTTTTTTGACTGTCTCTTAGGGGCGGCCGCACTCACTGGAGCAGTCACTCACACAGTCTCAACAGCCGTCATCTGCTTTGAGCTGACGGGGCAAATTTCCCATATCCTCCCTATGCTTATTTCTGTCATTATGGCAAATGTGGTTGCCCAGAACCTTCAGCCAAGTCTTTATGATTCCATCATCCAGGTTAAGAGGCTGCCATACCTGCCGGATTTGTCATCCTGTCACGTTAGGTGAGATAGCCAAGCTCTAGCCTGGAGCCCATGCAGCTGAGCAAAGGAAACGTTAAACTGTCATACAGCCAGTTTTCCGACTTCGAGCTAGTGGTGGACTCTCAACCAGTCACACAAAGAAAGCGATGCCTGTTTGTAACTCACATGATGTTTAGGTGATAATGGGGAGAATTGACAAGGGCCTTTGTAACCAGGTTCTTTGTAACCAGAAAGGGAGGAATCTGCACTCATATGATAAATTAAACCAGAAGCACAGCTGGACTTGAGGCTGGGAAACCCCATATATGAGAGTGAGAACATAAACAGCAATGCTTTGACCTCGAATTAGGTTTTTATCAAGCTCATTGGAGGTCAAAGAGTTGCTGTTTATCTTCTGACTCTCCAAATTAATCTGCTACCTTAATAGCCAGTATCACATTGCTTTTTACAAGGGCATGCTTTTTTGCCCAGAAATCTAATAATGTGCTCAGTAGTTTTGGTAGAATGCGCAGGGCAATTTATTTTCTATCCTGCTCATAGTTTGCATTTTAAGTGAATCTGCGTCCAATGCATTTTAATACTATCCAGCAGTAATCCATGTATTTTCTAGAAAACACATTATAAGCACTTAATCCAAAGCATTCTATATGTTCTTCTTATCATAAAAAAGTATTTTAGTCACTTTGAAGAATTCAATCAGGTACAGGAACACTCTAAACACCAAAAAAACTTTAGCTTAATGAAGTTGTTTTGGTGTATAGATCATGCCCCTGCAGTCTCCATGCTTAGTATATGCAGCCTAGACGTGCCCGTTCCTCTCTATAGGGGACATGCCAGTTCCTCTCTATAATTGGAATGTGCCAGTTCCTCTCTATAGGGGACGTCCCAGTTCCTCTCTATAAGGGACGTGCCAGTTCCTCTCTATAGGGGACGTGCCAGTTCCTCTCTATAATTGGAATGTGCCAGTTCCTCTCTATAGGGGATGTGCCAGTTCCTCTCTATAATTGGAATGTGCCAGTTCCTCTCTATAATTGGAATGTGCCAGTTCCTCTCTATAATTGGAATGTGCCAGTTCCTCTCTATAATTGGAATGTGCCAGTTCCTCTCTATAGGGGACGTGCCAGTTCCTCTCTATAGGGGACGTGCCAGTTCCTCTCTATAATTGGAATGTGCCAGTTCCTCTCTATAGGGGATGTGCCAGTTCCTCTCTATAATTGGAATGTGCCAGTTCCTCTCTATAGGGGACGTGCCAGTTCCTCTCTATAATTGGAATGTGCCAGTTCCTCTCTATAAGTGGAATGTGCCAGTTCCTCTCAATAAGTGGGAAGTGACAGTTCCTCTCTATTGGAGACATTCCAGTTCCTCGGGGATGTGCCGATTCCTCTCTATAGGGCACATTCCAGTTCCTTTCTATAAAGGATGTGCCAATTCCTCCCAATAAGTGGGATGTACCAATTCTTCTCTATAGGGGATGTGCCAATTCCACCCCATAAGTGGGGTGTGCCAATTCCTCTCTATAGGAGACATGCCAGTTCCTCTCTATTGTGTATGTGCAAATTCCTCTCTATATGGTATGTGCCAGTTCCTCCCTATAGGTGACATTCCAGTTCCTCTCTATAGGGGATGTGCCAGTTCCTCTCTATAGGGGATGTGCCAGTTCCTGTCTATAGGGGACGTTCCAGTTCCTCTGTATAGGGGATGTGCCAGTTCCTGTCTACAGGGGACAAGCCAGTTCCTGTCTATGGGGGACGTGACAGTTCCTCTCTATAGGGGACATTCCAGCTCGTCTCTATCAAGGAAGTGCCAGTTCCTCTCTATAGGGGACGTGCCAGTTCTTCCCTATAGGGGTCGTTTCATCTCCTCTCTATAGGGGATGAACCTGTTCCCCTCTATAGTGGTGTACTGTAGTGGTGTTTGTATCCAAAGGCTGATTCTGACATCACCTGCACAGCTTATTTTAAAGTAATACATTATTTAATCTGATATTTGCCCTATACTGTGGAATACCTCAAATGTATCGTTTCCAGCCAAGTGTGGATATTTTGAATGTAAACCTGACTTTTCTTTAACAGTAAATACAATATTTTTGTGGAAGACATTATGGTGAGAGATATCCGGTTTATCTCATCGCGCTGTACCTACAAAGACCTACTTGATGTTCTGCAGAGCTGCACGCATAAGAGTCTGCCCCTAGTGGAGTCGGCAGGTAATGCAATTTGTATAAAAATATATACCTTTTATTATTATTATTATTATTATTACGATTATTTCTATAGCACTAACATATTCTGTCATTTTACAATGGGATATAACAGAAAATAAGAGACAAACGATTACACTTGTTAACAGGTAAAAGAGGTGAATGATGGCTGTTGTTTAATGAGATTACACTTCTGGCACCCTTTCCGGCAGCGATTGAGAAGTTATGGCATTGCTGCGGGCTGTGAATACCATCATACTCAGCCATCCAGAATGCCCAACATGATGGGACTCATAGATTGCAGCATTAGGGCTGTCACACGTCACTGTTTTCTGCATTGAAAAAATCCCATAAATCGGCGTCGAGCTGACAATGACAGGAAAACGAATGCAAAATCAATATGGTGGAAAATATTCCATCTGAGCTTTGCTCGCAGTGTGGATGTAATAAATGTCAGCACAGCACAGGCAATGCTCACAGGAGCTGGGGCCCATTTCCTTATTTTTCCAAAATCCCTTGTAATACGAAGAGAGACATGTCACCTCCATTTATTTAATTAGTAGCTGTGCCACTTTAATGGAACGATTGGCGTTAATCATACTGCACGGAGTGAAAGGGCAGAGATTTAAGGCAGTGTATGAAGGGCTAATGCAGCGGGTGTGGACTATACTCTGAAATATCACATTGTGATTTGTAGAACACGTGGTATAATTCATGGTTTTTAGGAGGAGCTTAGATCCACACACCTGGGAGGGGTCATGTGATTTACCCTTTTGCTGAGTCCCTGATGATTATTAATCAGTGGCGCATGCTTGGTACACACACAAACACTGTACTTGTACCAATAAATGGCACACAGTCCTAGTATTCTGAAACAGAGGATCTCTGATTATAATGAAACGTTGCTTTCTCAGAGTGTATGGTGCTGCTGGGCTCCATCGAGAGGTCGGAAATAGTTGCTTTACTGGAGAGGAGACTATCACGGGAAAGAAGACAGCGTTTGGCCTCCCCCCCATACAAAGGTCAGAGATTGGCGGACCCACCGGGGAAGAGAGACTCCTTCCAATATGTAGATGAAGAAGACATGGCGGGAGAGGAGGAAGTGAAGAAAGAGGTGAGGAAATGGGGGTTTATCATACTCATCATGCCCAAACAAGTAGATAGAGTGCACAATAATTACTAATGGTGCACACTCTTATATCTGCCAAAAATAAAACTCAGTAATATCATCAATACATGAAAATCTCTACCTTGTGAGTGTCAAAGAAGAATTATTCTGCGCTCTCCCCGGGGCGAGCTCACGCACACACCGCGGGCTGGATATTATGATAATTAAACACAGTCATGAAGTGAGAAAACGTAACCAATGAAGGGAAAAGACGAGGAGCACTAATAAATATATATTTACATTTTTACTCCTTTTTTCCCTCTATTTATCTCTGAATATAATATTTAGTTATTAATTGCCATCAGTCATCTATTTCCCATCAATCATCTCTTTTTTGATGGCACGGAGGAAACTCTAAGTCACGAACAGACATGCTCTCCCAGTGTTTGGGAATATTTCCAAATGGCGTTTCGGAGTTATGGAACTTGGAAAATTGTCATTAATGCGGATGAATTGCACTTAAAGGGAAACTCCAGGTCCCCTCTCCCTCCCACCTCCCAATCCCCGGTTGCTGAAGGAGTGAAAACCCCTTTAGTCACTTACCAGAGGCAGCAACAATGTCCCACGTCACTGCTTCTTCCTCCGCCGCCGCTCCTCCCAGTGATTGCGTCAGCCGGTGGGCAAGACTGATCCCGCCCACCGGCCGGGGAGACCTAATGCGCATGTCGCGCATGCCACGCATGCGCATTAGAGCTCCCCATAGGAAAGCATTGAAAACGCTTTTCAATGCTTTCCTATGGGGAAATGAGCAACACTGGAGGTCCTCACACAGCGTGAGGACATCCAGCGAAGATCTAGCACAGGTTTCCTGTGCTAGGGACACGGAAGTGCCCTCTAGTGGCTGTCTAGTAGACTAAAGGTAGACTAGAGGTGGAGTTAACCCTGCAAGGTAATTATTGCAGTTTATAAAAAACTATAAAACTATAAGAGTAGTGGGAGTTGGCACCCAGACCACTCCAATGACCAGAAGTGGTCTGGGTGCCTGGAGTGTCCCTTTAAGGCAAGATCAGACACACAAGTCTAAATGATATTATGAGAAACAGCAAACACAATGTAAACCTGTTTTCATCGTCTTCCTCTTTGTAGCTTGTTGAAGAATGTAATGGGCCGATCACCCCAAAAAGCTCTTGTGAGGCCCCCAATGCTCCAACACAACCAGGTAATGCCTCAGTCTCACTTCTGTAGTGGTTCATTTTATGATAACAGCACATGTCACTGTAACACGACTCACTCTTCAAGTGGAAATATCCCTTTTTCAAAAAGAGACCTTTCGATATTTTGTAGCCCCCCCAATCCCCGGGTGTGAGCTGCTATGTTTCCTGAGTATTCTACAGACAGCAGTTACATTGTAATGTCCGTATCCCTTTAGTGTAAAATATATTGGGGGGATTAATTGACCCCCTCTCCCCACCCCAGTGTGATCTGCTGTGTTCCCTGAGTATTCTACAGACAGCAGTTACATTGTAATGTCCGTATCCCTTTAGTGTAAAATATATTGGGGGGATTAATTGACCCCCCTCCCCTCCCCCCCCCAGTGTGATCTGCTGTGTTCCCTGAGTGTTCTACAGACAGCGGTTACATTGTAATGTCCGTATCCCTTTAGTGTAAAATATATTGGGGGGATTAATTGACCCCCCTCCCCTCCCCCCCCCAGTGTGATCTGCTGTGTTCCGAGTGTTCTACAGACAGTGGTTACATTGTGATGTTACAGTGGAAATATGTTTCTGAAATAAGGGTTTGAAGATATGTATTTTCTATATTACTGCCAAACATGTCCTTATAAAACTCATTTCACAGCAGTTTGGTTATATGAATTGTTTACATATAATGAAAATATTGTTTTAAATATGGAAAATCCAATAGGAAGATTTGTTTCCATTAGGAATGTTTGATACAGGACTTACAATGTAATACAAAGCTGTGACATTTGTTTCATTATCTCTCCATGTGTATTATTTAAACTTTGTCTCCACAGCCAGTTTGTATCAGAGGTTTCGCTCAGCTGCCCAGAGCATCTTCTGCAATCCCGAGGAACCGAAACCAGAAGAGATAACACAGGTCAGAGAACAATCCATTTTCCCTAGAGTTTGGTGGAGGAATGACTAGCAGGGTTAGAGCAGACAGATCAGGGAGCAGTGTGTGTTTGGTGGAGGAATGACTAGCAGGGTTAGAGCAGACAGGTCAGGGAGCAGTGAGTGCTTGGTTGAGGAATGACTAGCAGGATTAGGGCAGACAGGTCAGAGAGCAGTGAGTGCTTGGTGTAGGAATGACTAGCAGGGTTAGAGCAGACAGGTCAGGGAGCAGTGAGTGCTTGGTTGAGGAATGACTAGCAGGGTTAGAGCAGACAGGTCGATGAGCAGTGAATACTTGGTTGAGGAATGACTAGCAGGGTTAGAGCAGACAGGTCAGAGAGCAGTGAGTGCTTGGTGTAGGAATGACTAGCAGGGTTAGGGCAGACAGGTCAGAGAGCAGTGAGTGCTTGGTGTAGGAATGACTAGCAGGGTTAGAGCAGACAGGTCAGGGAGCAGTGAGTGCTTGATTGAGGAATGACTAGCAGGGTTAGAGCAGACAGGTCGATGAGCAGTGAATACTTGGTTGAGGAATGACTAGCAGGGTTAGAGCAGACAGGTCAGAGAGCAGTGAGTGCTTGGTGGAGGAATGACTAGCAGGGTTAGAGCAGACAGGTCAGGGAGCAGTGAGTGCTTGGTGTAGGAATGAATAGTAGGATTGATGAATGCTTTGTTTAATGAATTATGAGATTAGAAGACTCTCTCCTTTGCTCCAGTACCGGATGTTAGGATATGGAGAAAACGTTAATTATCATCATATTTGGACATGAGCCGTAGAACTGCACACAAACTGCCTAACTGGTGATGAATGAAAGATCAGCCTCTTAGGAAGATCCCCGCCACAAGTTGATGGTACTTACTGTTGAATGCTTTCTTATTTTTCTGCAGGTATCTGAACCTGAAGATACTATGACACCTGAAGAGGTAAGAACATTATGGAAGAATGAAAGACAGTAAAAACATGGCAAGAGACTAGACAACTAGGGACGTGGACTAAAAGGGAGGAGGGTGTAAGAAGCCACATTTAGGGGACAGAATTCACATTAAGCACTCTCCCTCTTATAGTGCTAATTACATTAGGGAAATGAGAACAACATAGGACGACATCTCCTGGGTGTTACATTCATGGGGGGTGATGTGGATGTGGTATGGCCTTTGTGGGGTGCGGAGAGGGTAGCTCTGTGTTTCAGGAATACTTGGAATAGGATGAGACACAGTATGAATGCACACACCCTGATAAATTTATTTCTACATATCTATGGAGCATCTTCCCCTGGTTCTGGATAACTTGAGAGGCCTCACACACCATATCCACTGCAAGCAGTAACCTCCATTCTACCAGGAACTCCCAGCAAGCTCTGCGGGGACCCTCACACACTATATCCACTGCAAGCAATGTGTTCCATTCATAGATAGGACACCACAACATCACTGTTGAGACCTGGGAAATATTGCAGTGTGGGAGCCTGGAATTAATAATATAAACCCACCCAGTATAATTGTAACCTAACCTACACAGTGCATTTAACGTGTGTAATAGCCTGGAGTGTCCCTTTACTTATATAAACCCACCCAGTATAACTAACTGTAACCTAACCTACACAGTGCACCTAACGTGTGTGGGTGTCTGGAGTGTCCCTTTAATAATATAAACCCACCCAGTATAACTAACTGTAACCTAACCTACATAGCGCACCTAACGTGTGTGGGAGCCTGGAGTTTCCCTTTAATAATATAAACCCACCCAGTATAACTAACTGTAACCTAACCTACACAGTGCACCTAACGTGTGTGGGTGTCTGGAGTGTCCCTTTAATAATATAAACCCACCCAGTATAACTAGCTGTAACCCACCTACACAGTGCACCTAACATGTGGGGGAGCCTGCATTATATAGCCTTTATTGTAGAAATCCATCCAGTATAACTAACTGTAACCTAACCTACACAGTGCACCTAACGTGTGTGGGAGCCTGGAGTGTCCCTTAATAATATAAACCTACATAATGCACCTAACGTGTGTGGGAGGCTAGAGTGTCCCTTTAATAATATAAACCTACATAGTGCACCTAACGTGTGTGGGAGCCTGAAATTTCCTGTTAATAACGTAAACCCACCCAGTATAACTAACTGTAACCTAAATTACACAGTGCACCTAACGTGTGTGGAAGACTGGTGTGTCCCTATAATAATATAAACTCACCCAGTATAACTAACTGTAACGTCACATGTGTGGGAGCCTGGAGTGTCCCTATAATATAACTAACTGTAACCTAACCTACACAGTGCATCTAATGTGTGTGGGAGCCTGGCGTGTCCCTTTAATAATATAAACCCATCCAGTATAACTAACTGTAACCTAACCTACACAGTGCACCTAACGTGTGTGGGAGCCTGGAGAGTCCCTTTAATAATATAAACCCACCCAGTATAACTAATTGTAACCTAACCTACACAGTGCACCTAACGTGTGTGGGAGCCTGGAGTGTCCCTTTAATAATATAAACCCACCCAGTATAACTAACTATAACCTAACCTACACAGTGCACCTAACGTGTGTGGGAGCCTGGAGAGTCCCTTTATTAATATAAACCCACCCAGTATAACTAACTATAACCTAACCTACACAGTGCACCTAACGTGTGTGGGAGCCTGGAGAGTCCCTTTATTAATATAAACCCACCCAGTATAACTAACTATAACCTAACCTACACAGTGCACCTAACGTGTGTGGGAGCCTGGAGAGTCCCTTTATTAATATAAACCCACCCAGTATAACTAACTATAACCTAATCCACACAATGCACCTAACGTGTGTGGGAGCCTGGAGAGTCCCTTTATTAATATAAGCCCATCCAGTATAGCTAACAGTAACCTAACCTACACAGTGCACTGTACTTGTGTAGGACCCTAGAGTGTCCCTTTAATAATATAAACCGACCCAGTATAACTAACTATAACCTAACCTACACAGTGCACCCAACGTGTGTAGGAGCCTGGAGTGTCCCTTTAATAATATAAACCCACCCAGTATAACTAACCGTATCCTAATTATAACCTAACCTTCACAGTGCACCTAACGTGTGTGAGAGCCTGGAGTGTCCCTTTATTACTATAAACACACCCAGCATAATTGTAACCTAACCTACATAGTGCACCTAACATGTTGAAATCTGTAGTGTCCCTTTGAACGCTGATATTGTTCTAAACATTAATATGTTTGTGATGGAGCTCCCTGTACCCCGGCTGGGTACCTCCGCCAAAGAACCGCTTCCTAGCTGGAACAGGGGAAAAACCACAGCACTTCTGCCCACAGTTGCTGTGGCTTGACTGGGGCCCTGAACCGCTCATTCCTGGAGCCGAATGGGGAATTTGCTCTAGACACCCCAAGGCACTGGATGACACACAGGCCTGGGAGCTCTAGTCCTTACAAGGACTTTCCCCATTGAATCCCCTGCAAGCTGGAACAGCAGACACAGGGGTTAAATCTTCATTCCCTCCAATAACAGGACGACATACAGTTTTGCAGTGCAAGCTGGAATAGATTTTAATGGTGCCACACTTGGCCTTATATGACAATCCCCATGCAAGGGGTATGCCCACATGGACCTGATGGTGGACTGATTTGCAACTTCACAGACCAATAACAATAAGGTTACAAGGCACGACACTCCCACACACAGCACACAATCCCTCCCATCTGCCTGGGAGATAATTGGATCAGTAATTGTACTAATTCTAATCCAATTATCTCCAAGCCTGATCTGGGTGGCCAACATATCCAAAAATCTCCCAGATCAGTTCAGGAGTTCAGAAATTCTATGGAAGTCATTTATTTGACCAACCGCAGGCATGGTACCATGCCCAAAACAGTTCCAGAAAATCCGGGCTTGCAGTTGGTCTAGTTCGGTAGTTTGAAAATGAACAAACTACCAAACAGAGTCAATAGTCTTACCCTGGAGCTTGTTCCCTTCATCCAGACGAATGATCTCATCTAACAGTGCCTTTCTAAGTTGAATAGAAACGAACGCAGACAATGATGGAAGTCCAATGGTGTTTGGGAGTTTCTGTATCCGATTTTAGTACCATTGCGGTGAGAAACGTTCCAATTAGTTAATAGGTGTTAACTAGCTCCAGGGTGGTCTCTGTTCGTGTGGCTGTTCGGTAAATGCACCATATAATCCCAATTGCACGAACAGAGACTTTTACATTATTTTTCACAGGCTCCATAGTCTGTGGGCAGGAGGTTGGCAAGCAGGCTCCTTCATGAGCTCGTGGCAAAAAGGGGACTTTGTCACAATGTTATTCCATTACACTCAAGTCAGTTATGTGCTCAAATAGGCTAATTTAGTATAAAAGGTGAAATTCACTTAGAACTATTGACGAGTGATACTTTAGTGAAGGCTTTTTATTTTCTTATGTTTGCAGATCCTGGTCTGGGAGCAGCAGGAACTTGCGAAGATGGCCTCGTTTGACAGCTGTCTAATCGATCCATCACCATTTCAGCTGGTGGAGAGGACGTCTCTTCATAAAGTGAGTTGGAGAGACATATTTATTTATTCATGTCTCTTAAACAGCGGATATTACATGTCTCATTGAATGTCTTGTTCCTGCAGACGCACACGCTATTTTCGCTCCTGGGTCTCAGCCTGGCATATATTACCAGTGGTGGAAAACTTAGAGGTGTCATCGCATTGAAAGAGGTGAGAAGTCTGAACGCAATGAGTATAGGAGGAGACGGAGTAACACTTTGCTTTGGTGTTTTTTCACATTGTACCAATGACCTAACAGGTCATTACAATCTAAAATCCATATAGAATCTATATTGTATAATAATAATTATTAAACATCGGAATGTTTTCTGATTTTTGGTTGGATTGCATGATCAAATTCACATAAATCTCACAACTTTTTTCCTGCTGGTGCTGATTTTCGAACTTTTTATATTCTTAAAACCGGCTTAACGTCGTAGTTAATCACACATTCTTGAGAACGATGTTCCAAATTTCTATAGTTAGCAACAAAATAAAATGGATCCATTTTGGAAACATTTGTGTAATGAACATGCTGCATTTCAATTTGACCCTGATATGGGTGTATGTTTCTGTATATAAAGTGCATGTCTTGTGTTATCAGCTTTGCTATGTTATTGTTATATTATTTGTCCTTTAAAAGATTAACGAAGAATAATGTAAATACATTTTATAAAGTTCAGGGCCGGTGTTTGTGCCAACACTGTGACTAGTGATTGTGGTATTGGTTAATTGCCAATCTAGTCTATGCATTAAACCACAGATTCATTTTATGTCTAAAATAACCAAATGGTAGAACTGCAGCTATACTGGCCTTAAACTGATTTTAAGGGAACTCCTGACAAATCATAGTTCAATGGAAAACAGGGCAGTTAATGAAATATTGACATTGATGCCGGATAGACAGGATATATTATTATACAAACTCTCATACAGATCAGTATATTACAGGATATCCCGGAAACCTCAGGAATAAATGCTGCTTAGCCTCCCCACTGAAGAGCCGCTAAACTGGCGAAATCCCTGTCGATGCTCTTGCTATATCCTAGTTAATTACCAATTTAGAGATTTTGGACACATTGTACCCTCTTGATATTTGGGAGTTTTGGCTATAGGAATATAGTGATAATTTAGTTCAGCTAGTTTGCAGTTACAGTTGGCATGTTATTTAGCCTGATAGCTCAGGTGCCCTCAAAGACACAAACAGGCAGTTTATATATTACATTAGGTGCCCTCAAAGGCACAATCAGGGAGTTTAGACATTACACGAGGTGCCCTCGAAGGTGCTATCAGGGAGTTTAGACATTACATTAGGCGCCCTCCAAGACACAATCAGGGAGTTTATATATTACATCAGGTGCCCTCGAAGACGCAATCAGGGAGTTTAGACATTACATTAGGTGCCCTCCAAGAAACAATCAGGGAGTTTAACTCCCTGATTGTGTCTTCGAAGGCACAATCAGGGAGTTAGACATTACATTAGGTGCCCTCCAAGACACAATCAGGGAGTTTATATATTACATCAGGTGCCCTCGAAGACGCAATCAGGGAGTTTAGACATTACATTAGGTGCCCTCCAAGACACAATCAGGGAGTTTAACTCCCTGATTGTGTCTTCGAAGGCACAATCAGGGAGTTAGACATTACATTAGGTGCCCTCCAAGACACAATCAGGGAGTTTATATATTACATCAGGTGCCCTCGAAGACGCAATCAGGGAGTTTAGACATTACATTAGGTGCCCTCCAAGACACAATCAGGGAGTTTAACTCCCTGATTGTGTCTTCGAAGGCACAATCAGGGAGTTAGACATTACATTAGGTGCCCTCCAAGACACAATCAGGGAGTTTAGACATTACATTAGGTGCCCTCGAAGGTGCAATCAGGGAGTTTAGACATTACATTAGGTGCCCTCTAAGGTGCTATCAGGGAGTTTAGACATTACATTAGGTGCCCTCGAAGGCGCAATCAGGGAGTTTAGACATTACATTAGGTGCCCTTGAAGGTGCTATCAGGGAGTATATATATTATATTAGGTGCCCTCGAAGGTGCAATCACTGAGTTTAGACATTAAATTAGGTGCTCTCAAAGGCACAATCATGGAGTTTAGACATTACATTAGGTGCCCTCGAAGACACAATCAGGGAGTTTAGACATTACACTAGTTTCCCTCGAAGGTGCTATCAGGGAGTTTAGACATTACATTAGATGCCCTGGAAGGCGCAATCAGGGAATTTAAACATTACATTAGATGCCCTCGAAGGCAAAATCAGGGAGTTTAGACATTACCTAAGGTGCCCTCGAAGACACAATCAGGGATTTTAGACATTACATTAGGTGCCCTCAAAGGCGCAATCAGCGAGTTTAGACATTACATTAGGTGCCCTCGAAGGTGCAATCAGTGAGTTTAGACATTACATTAGGCACCCTCAAAGGTGCAATCAGGGAGTTTAGACATTACATTAGGCACCCTCGAAGGTGCAATCAGGGAGTTTAGACATTACATTAGGTGCCCTCGAAGACACAATCAGGGATTTTAGACATTACATTAGGTGCCCTCGAAGGTGCAATCAGGGAGTTTAGACATTACATTAGGCGCCCTCGAAGGTGCAGTCAGGGAGCTTAGACATTACATTAGGTGCCCTCGAAGACGCAATCAGGGAGTTTAGACATTACATTAGGTGCCCTCGAAGGTGCAATCAGGGAGTTTAGACATTACATTAGGCACCCTCGAAGGTGCAATCAGGGAGTTTAGACATTACATTAGGTGCCCTCGAAGACACAATCAGGGATTTTAGACATTACATTAGGTGCCCTCGAAGGTGCAATCAGGGAGTTTAGACATTACATTAGGCGCCCTCGAAGGTGCAGTCAGGGAGTTTAGACATTACATTAGGTGCCCTCGAAGACGCAATCAGGGAGTTTAGACATTACATTAGGTGCCCTCGAAGGTGCAATCAGGGAGTTTAGACATTACATTAGGCACCCTCGAAGGTGCAATCAGGGAGTTTAGACATTACATTAGGTGCCCTCGAAGACACAATCAGGGATTTTAGACATTACATTAGGTGCCCTCGAAGGCGCAATCAGCGAGTTTAGACATTACATTAGGTGCCCTCAAAGGTGCAATCAGGGAGTTTAGACATTACATTAGGCGCCCTCGAAGGTGCAGTCAGGGAGCTTAGACATTACATTAGGTGCCCTAGAAGACGCAATCAGGGAGTTTAGACATTACATTAGGCGCCCTCGAAGGTGCAATCAGGGAGTTTAGACATTACATTAGGCGCCCTCGAAGGTGCAATCAGGGAGTTTAGACATTACACTAGTTTCCCTCAAAGGTGCAATCAGGGAGTTTAGACATTACTTTAGGTGCCCTCCAAGACACAATCAGGGAGTTTAGATATTACATTAGGTGCCCTCGAAGGTGATATCAGGGAGTTTAGACATTACATTAGGTGTCCTCGAAGGTGCAATCAGGGAGTTTATATATTATATTAGGTGCTCTCGAAGGCACAATCAGGGAGTTTAGACATTAAATTAGGTGCCCTCCATGACACAATCAGGGAGTTTATATATAACATTAGGTGCCCTCGATGGCACAGGGTTAAGATAATCTTGATCTCTTCGTGGTCCTTTTTCTGCTTCTTGTAGCAATCACATTTAACGCTTTATAAGGCGTGGGAACTTTGTCTGCACCAGGTCTATTATTCTAGTAATCCCTGACATTTAATACTCAGATTGTGGCATTGATGCGGATATGCTACTTATTTAATACATTGTCTTAATCACGAGTAACAGATATAACTGCACTGAAAAACCTGCATTTTCTTGCTTCCCAACAAATATTTCTAATCACATTGCTTTTAATACTCACACATTATTGCTTTTTATAGCTGCTACAAAAGTTATGTTTTAACTCTAATATGTATATGTTCTAGGAAAAACTTTCTTCTTTACAAACTACTTTACTTATGGGGTATCCCCACCTTATTTCCTCATCATTCATATGATTTAGCTCTATGTCTTTGTTTCATCTTAGAGAAATAATCAGTGGTGCAGATAACCGTGTTAATTATATGTTCTGCATAGTGATATCCGTAAGATGCTGACTGTGTTGAGGATGTGTGTGGCCTGATTATTTGGTTTTATTGCAGCTTCAGAAAGCAATAGAAGGGACAGCTCAGTCTGGTGTCCGATTACGTCCTCCTTTTGCCAGTTTCCGTGATGCCAGCCGCAATTTGTCTCAGAAGAAAGTCCACAGACCAGAGCCTAAATCTCCTCCCTCTCCTGACCCTTCAGTGCTCCTCGATGAACCCACCATCATTGCCACCCCAGATTCCGAACTGGACGATTTGTCAGGGCAAGGGTCTGAAAATGTGTCACAGATTCTCAAAGACTTTCAGGTGCCATCAGATCATAGCGACGATGATGCCCCACTGTAATTCTGGGGACGTTGAGTGATACTCGACATTGCTATGGCATGGTCCACTTACATTTCATTTATCTTAAGTGGTACCAAAAATACAGGACACTATGTGCTGCAACAACACCACAAGGTATCACATAACAAGGTATTATCTTACCTCATTACAAGGTATCACATAACAAGGTATTTTCTTACCTCATTACAAGGTATATTACAAGGTATTATCTTACCTTATTACAAGGTATCACATTACAAGGTATCATCTTACTTTGCTACAAAGTATCACAGCCTTTCTTCGTTCCTGTTACCCAAACATATAAGGTGTGTTATCCCTGCAAAATCATGTCACTGAGGAGCGTGGAAACATTTTAAATAATGTATATGGTATCTTTTGTGTATGGGACAGCATAAAATGATGTAAAAATGTCAGATTGGAGAACATTATAATCAAAGCTGGAAGTGCACTCAGCTCCTCACTAGGGAATCCAGGGTGCTCTTGAAAAAGTCCCAGTACCCAAAAGGACCAAGCGGATAAATTTGTAGAAAATAATCCAGGCACTCCAATAGTTTCCAATTCTTAAGGCAATTTATTTGGACCAGGAACTACAAAGCAACGTTTCAGCCCCAACAGCTTGAAAAAAGCCCTGTTGGGGCTGAAACGTTGCTTTGTAGTTCCTGGTCCAAATAAATTGCCTTAAGAATTGGAAACTATTGGAGTGCCTTGATAATTTTCTACAGATTGGAGAACATTATCCAGAAGCTGCTGTTTTACCCAGTTTTGCCTGGTGCCCTGCCCTCACCAGCTGTGTCCGCACACAGAGCAAGTGGATGCCAAGTGCTTTTTCTATCGAATTCTGAAAGCTGGGATTCTATGCTTGTAACGTTGCCGCAGGATTCATCATGTCCAATGATTCCAGACATGACTTTTAAATGGACAAAAAACACAATCCGTACATCTTCAGGCTAAGGCTTCCTGTGAACTTTCTAAAATCATTATATTGTGCAGGGGTGGGAGGCCTATGGGGATTCAGAAACCACACACATTTTTACAGAGAGTTTGAAGGACAGAGTTTTCGTGGGTAACAGAGTATGTTAGTTAATTAGGTAATAGAGTATGCAAGCTATTTATATTTAAATATCACGAGCAGAGAAAGCACCGAGAGTGGATTAACACAATACGGAAAATAAAATGGGACTGACACGGTCACGTGGTAGCTCTAATGATGTTAAATTCTGCATTTTCTGAGAATGTATTTAAAACAATCACAGTGCAATTTCAGAGCACACTCGAGGAACAAATTCACATTACTGGGGGTTTACTGAATAACTTCCCCATTAAAATCAGTTCTCTTTGTAATAAATGATTTATTTACACTACATCTCCTTATCTCTGATTTACTTTCCATGTTGGGTTTTATCTCAGTTTCACAATCCCTGTAACTGTGGGTGTCATGGCACAGCCTGACCCCTGCAGACAGTAATGTGTGGCCACCCCTTTAAGAGACCTGCCACAGCACAGCCTGAGCCCTGTAGACAGAAGCATCCCAGTCAGGTTCTCTGCCGTGCTGTCCACCATGGGGCTTCAGTTTCTGCCTGCATTATTCTGCTTCCTGACCCCTTGCCTGAATTAAGCAGAGCTGACCCACCTGCAGCCCTTTTCAAATTAGGCTCAGCTGCACCTAATTAGCAGGCTGTAAAAGCCAGCCCTGCCTGAAAGCTAGGATCTGGTCATTTCGTCTATTTGGTGTTTCCTGCCGGATCTCTGCTTCGCTACTGACTGATTTCCTGGACTCTGACCTCTGCCTGCTTTACCGACTCCGCTACTCCGCTGCCAGCCCTGACTTCTGCTTCTCGTCTGACCCTGCCTTTGGATTCCCCTTAATCTGTACTGCACTTCTGGTTTTTGCCTCCCCCCTATGCCATCTCCTGCAACTGGGCTCCAACTCCTGTTAAACTGTTACATAAGTCCCCAGGTGACTGTTACAGTGGGACATGTTATATACTGGTATTCACTGACGTTTGCACTCTGACTGCTGTAAGAATCAGTTAACGTAGCCATTCTTTTATAAACAAGTATATTCTAGGCTTTCCAGAGCCCTTCATTGGTTTACAAACTTCTTACAGATCCTGATCATTTCAAAGCATTTACAACTCTGCTTTGTCCAGGTACTGGCTGCATTTGTTTGGGGGTATGTCAGAGGGTCCCCAGTTCTCGAGGTCCAAGTTTCATAGTTGCATAGCTGAAAAGAAAAGTTTGTCCATCAAGTTTAGCCTTCCTCGCATTTGTTTTTGATGTTGATCCAAAAGAAGCCAAAGAAAATAAAAAAAACATTTAAAGCATTTCCAACTTTGCAATAAACTAGGAGACAATCCCTTCTTGACCCCAGAATGGCAGTCAGACATCTACTTGGATCAAGAAGCTATTACCCCACTAATTAAAAATGATATCCCTGAATATTCTGTTTTTGTAAGTATTTAACCAATTGCTCTTTAAACATCTGTACAGACTCTGATTAAGCCACCTCTTCAAGCAGAGAATTCCACATCCTTATTGTTCTTGCTGTAAAAAAAACAATTTTCTTTGTCTTAGACTAAATCTCCTTTCTTCCAGTCTAAATGTGTGTCCTATGTATAGCCCTGTTTATGAATAGATTTCCAGACAATGGTTTGTATTGGCCCTGAATATATTTATATAATGTTATCACGTCCTCTCTGAGGCACTATTTTTCTACATTAAAGAGATCTAAATTTACCTTTTTTCATAGCCAAAATGTTCCATTCCTTTTATTAATTTTGTGCCATAATATCCTAAATAGGGGGCTCTGGTAGCAGACGCCGTATACTTCGGGAGTCAGCCTTTCACTACTGCGTATCCAGCAGCGATTAACTGACACCCTGTAATAGTACTACCTCAATGTATTACGGCTGTATAGTCCTCGGACAGACTCTTTAGTAGCGTGTGTGGAACTGCACTCACTCCCATAAATCTGAGCCAGGTAATAAAGTACCTGTCTTGAACCAAGGAGTGCCTGGACCTCTATTATTTTATTAATTCTCAGGAGTATTAGGTCATTTATTACCTTTCACTTTTCCTCTCCACTTCACAGCTGCTCTATATCTGTATTAAAAACATAGTTAAAATAATATATTGACTAGAATTGGTTACATTCTATTTATTCCGATTTTTTTTTTTTTTGGCCTTAAGTACCTGATTATACAGAGAGGACTTTATCAGCGTATCATATTTATTTTATCCTAACTTTCAATTGAACTATTCATAAAAGTTACATTTGATGTCTTTTCTGCTCACATCACACTTATTGGTTTATTTTTTATTTTTTATTTTCACTACGTGCCCAAAATTGCACAGCATATTCAAGATATGGTCTTACCAGTCATTTATAGAAAGGCAAAATTATATTTCATCCCGAGAATGAATGCCCCTATTTATACATGGCATTACCTTACTGGCCTTAGGAACTTCTGATGGACATTGCACATTGTTGCCTAATTTGTTGTCTATTACAATTCCCAAATCCTTCTTGTGTGTTATTATTTAGGGTGTAAGTTGCTTGTGAATTCTTTACCCCGAAGTGCATAACTTCTACATTAAATTTCATGTACCATTTTAATGCCCAGACCCCCAATCTATCTAAATCCCTCTGCAGCAAAGCAATATCCTGCTCACATTTTATTACTATACATAGTTTTGTGTCATCTGCAAACACTAAAGCATGACTTTCAATGCCTATTTCAAGATCATTTATAAACATATTAAATAGAAGGGGTCCCACAACGGAACCCCGAGGGACACCACTTACCACTTTTGTCCAGCTTGAAAATTCACCATTAATGACAACTTGTTGTACTCTCTCTTTAAGCCATTGTTCTATCCCAGAACAATAATTTTCATCAAGACCATTTTATTTGAGTTTAAACACTAATTTTGTGGAACTGTATCAAACGCCTTGGAAAAATCTAAGTAGATCACATCGACTGCAACACCCTGATCTATACTTCTACTTACTTCAGCTTAGAATGTAGTTAGGTTAATTTGACATGACCTATGTTTCATAAACCCATGCTGATTATTGCTAATAACAATGTTCTTCCCAATGAATTCCTGAATATTAACCCTTAATAACCCTTCAAACACTTTCCCAGCCACAAAAGTTAAGCTCACAGGTCTATAATTTCCAGGCAAAGATTTCGAAAACTTTTGTGAATATAGGAACCACATCTACCTTCCTTCAATCCACTTGTACATTTCCTGAATAAAAGGAATCTTGCAAGATTAAATACAGAGGTTCACTTATTGCCACACTAAGCTCCTTAAATACTCAAGGGTGAGTACTGTCTGGTCCTGGAACATTGTTTACATTAACTTTCTTTAGTTGCTGCAGTATCTTGTCTTGAGTCATCCAGTCATAATTTTTCTGCACGTTTTGTCAGATTCTTCATAGGAAAAGGAGCAGGGAATGTGTTAATCCTGGGCTGGCAACCACTGGTATTGAGGATGTTTTCCAACCAAAGATGGAATTCTTAGAATTAGATACATTACACCTTGAAATTAATGTTCAGACAACATGCACCAGAAATCTAATAAACTATCCAAATGGAAGCATTTTTTGCTGTGGTCTCATCTGCCATAACATTCTATTCATATCCCTATAATCTTCTCAGTGTGCAATTTATCACAATGTTCACTCAGACACTCACTCACTGAGGTCTCACTCAGACATCAGACTGATGGTTTACTCAGACATGAGACTGAGGTCGCAATCAGACATTAGACTCTGGGTTTCACTCAGACATCAGACTGAGGTCGCACTCAGACATCGGACTGAGGTCATACAAGCATCAAACTGAGGTCACACTCAAACAGACTGAGGCTGCACTCAAACATCATACTGAGGACCCACTCATACCACTAACCTTTATTCCTTTTAAGTTCAAACAGCAGAAAATACATATGGAAAACCAAATATATAATACAACCTGAGTGGGGTGCATAAAGAAAAGGGCAGACCGAGCTGGACGTGTTGAGAAAGTGTCTATAGTTAATCGCATCCAGTGCAGTTTGCCCCTTTGTTTCTGTATTCCCTCACTTGTATGATAAATACTGATTACCATGGTTCCAGTTTTAACGGTTTGAATTTTGACTTTAGATAAAGTGATTTCATTTTTAATTGACCTTATAATGAGTGAAACCTCAATGTGATGTTACACTATGCAGATTGCTTTGTGGTTCATTCGGGGCATTTATGGATTTTTCATTGTCCTTGAACGACCTTCAATATGCTGCCCAGCAAAATGTAAAATTCATGTGCTTCTAATGTGAACTAGTTATTATATTGCCTGTGATCCCAAAGTATCTACCATGGTTATTGTTTCCACAGACACACACTGCCGAGCAGCACGGTCAATCCCTGCCGAGCACAAGGAAGATTTTGTGTGTGTTCCTTCATAAAACAATGTTGTGACAATACTGCGTTTATTACACATATAAAGGACCAGCATACCTCCAGCTTGCTTCCATTGTTTTAATGTTAACATTTTCAAGACATTTCAATAAAGCCCGGATGAATGCTTGTCAGATTGGGAGATAATGGCCAGTGAATCCGGGAATTGGCAGCAACCCTCGCATTTCACTGCCTTATTACCCAACAATGCAATGAGCAAGGTTTTCTAATAGGTACAAACAGGAACGGTTGAAAAAGTGTGCCGTCTCTATGGAAACCATTCTTTTAGTTTATAGGAGGATTTTTCACTTTTAGAACATTTTCCCGATTTCCAGTTTTGAATCCCTTTATAAATGCCCCCAATGTGTCCTCACTTTCTGCCAGACATTAATATATAGATTAGTTGGAATAAAATAATTTAATCAAGAAATAAGGAAATTGTGTCATGTGAATTCTTAGTACTTTGCCCTTTAATATATTGTGTGTTTTGCAGCCATGGCAATAAGGCACTGACACCTCATCTGTCACTTGTCTGCAGTTTATTCCATGCACCATCACGCATGCTATCTGTCCAAGATTCACCCATTATATAGATATTCCTGCGTGCGTCAATATATATATTTATATATGTATGTACATACATATCATATATATATATTCAGAAATTGGAAATCCAAAGAAGCACAAGGCAAGAGAAGAAAACAGACAGAGAGAAAAATAAAATAAAAGACATAGATATTGCCCTGTGTAAATGGTGACAGATTAACCCTATCTCTGCCGTAGAACCCTGCAGAGCATTGCGGCTAGGAAGACATCTGCAGACCACAAACTAACAGAGACTGAGTGACGCTTTGCACATTCAGAATTTGGCAGCTTTTCACAAATGGCATGAAACATCAATCATTATTATAGCACAGAGAGCTGGTTGATCTCTATAGAAAACACAACATTGCGCACAGAGCATTGGATGTAAATGTATGACATTATAGCAGGATAGAAGTGAGCGCTGGCAGAGCATTGCGGCCAATGGGACAGCTGTTAATCCAGAGAACAATTCCACTTCCTAATAGTAACTAGCCAGGTCTTGGGACTGTTTGGTTTACAGTACGGGGTCCTTTACAATGATACTTCATGAGATTTCTAGATAGTCCATGTTGGAGAGCTATAAACAGGAAACCTGAGGCAACATTCTAAAAGGGACGCAACTTGCAGGAACATTTCCGCAGTTTCCATGACGACTGCTTCACATTTAGAACTTTGCTCCAGAATACGTGTTTATAAATACCCCAGGGCATGCTTTGAATTGTGATCTCAGGATGTTGTTAAACTGGGGGTGGGGGTGAGGAGCTTATGGCAGTTATAATTTGGTTGTTTCTGTTTAGTGAGAAGTCCCGTGGGCTCCCGTGCGAGGGAAGGCACAGATTAAAGAGTATTTCATGCCCATGGGCAGAACAGATTTAATAGTCATCTAGCGGTAAAACAGGGTCGAACCAATGGACAAAGGAAAAACTCCAAATGCTTTCAGTGGGATTCCTTCTCGTTGATAAATTGGATTTTCCGCTGGTTCTTCCAGTGTTTTGCAGCTGGTGGACCTTTTTGTTAAATTAAGTTGCCCGGGTGGTCAATCTCTAATAATGCCCAATTAAAATCCATCAAATTGCTGTGTTAAATGATACTTGGTGTTCAACAAACAGGCCCCAAAAGGCATCCAATCATCTCGAATCCTTCACTACCAAGGTGTATGTAGACACACACTAACAAAAAGAATTATTTATAAAGAAACAGATGTTGTTATTTGAGGTGAAATTGGTAAAATAAATAATTAAGTTTAATGAAGTCATCTTTCAGCTGTTGGGATTGGAATCTCTTATTTACTGAATAGCTGAAATCCTTGCTGTGTTGGGATCCGTGTGGATAAAAGATCCAGGAAAGGTTGTCTGAAAGTGTTGTAAGTGTAGAAGGACATTCTCTCTCATTTCGCAGGGCAGAAAGTAGGGATGGTACGAGTTCTGAGCTACATCCTGTACATAAACCATCGCCTATGTATCTTCTTATTCCAATATTAAATATCAAAAATTACAATTTAGTGTTTTAAAAACAAATTCTGAGTGTAGGGCATATT